GCCATTGACAACGATTTTGAGCCATGTCACCTATTGTCTCCAGCCATTGATTCTCAGAGTCCCGAGAGCCCCAATCCGGAAGTCTGCATCTCCCTACCTGACTCAGTTTAACTGTCAAGGATTTCATGGATTGATGCCATGTTTTTGTTTGGTCACCGCTTACTCCTTTCCAACCTGCACCTATATCAGCTAGTAATGCCCGTCGGGGGAGGCGATGGTTAGGCATGCGCAGCACGTGACCTAGCCATCTCAATCTATGTAACTTTATAGCCTCGTCGATTGATTTTCCCTCTTTACCCAACACTCTACGCCTAACGTCAACATTACTTACCTTATTATACCACCTAACGTGAGAAAGAGATCGTAGACATCTATGATCAAAAACAGTCAACCTTTTCATGTCTTCAACTCGTATTGGCCATGTTTCAGAGCCATAGAGAAGGACGGAGCGAACTGCTGAGCAGCACACACGTCCCTTGGTTGATAGCCGGATGTCACGCCTACGCCAGAGACGGTGTAAGTTGGCGAAAGCAGCTCGAGCTTTTTGGATCCGTGCTGAGATTTCGTCACCAATCAGTCCATTGGTGCTGATACAACTTCCCAAATAGGTGAAGTGGTCAACATGTTCTATCACTTCACTGCCTATCACTAAGCTAGGAGTTGACGTAGTCCAGTCCTGTAGCGGCATCTTACATTTTACAGGGGCGAATCGCATGCCAAACATACGAAGATTGCTGCTCAAGGTGTTCAGAAGACTCTGCATTTTGTCAGCATCCTCCCCCAACAGGACTATGTCATCTGCATATTCCAAGTCCATAAGACTATTCCCTGGTAACAAGTCGATTCCTAAGTCGTTAAGTTCAGTTAAGGATACTTCCATTAGCATATCTATGATGAAGTTAAACAGAAAAGGGGAAAGTGGACATCCTTGACGGACACCACTGGTTGTTATCAATTCAGATGACAATTCCCCATAAGCCCTTACACGACTACGTGAGTTTGAGTAGAGTGCCTTGATTAGTGCAATGTACTTTCTTGGCACTCCCTTCACAGTCAAACATTGCCATAATACCTCTCGATCCACGGAGTCGAAGGCCGCCTTTAAGTCAAGAAATATGGCAATTGTTGGACGCCTAAAAGTGTGTCTATGTTCTAGGATCTGTCGGAGAGTGAAGATATGATCTATGCACCCTCTATCTGGCCTAAAGCCTGCTTGATTTTCCCTCGTTTGTTCCTCCCGAGTTCTGCTTAGTCTGTGCATGATTACTGAGCCTAGGATTTTAGAGACTATGTTCGTCAGGCTGATTCCTCTATGATTATCACATGAAGACTTGTCTCCCTTCTTGAATATCGGTATAATAAGTGACCTACCCCAGTCTGATGGAACCGTCTCTGATTCCCAGACGTTACCTAGTACCTTAGTTAAACTATATACTAGTATGTCACCCGCATATTTAAACACCTCCGGAATAATTCCGTCGGGTCCTGCCGCTTTGCCTCGTTTCAAATTACAGATAGCTTTTGTGACCTCACTTACAGACGGCGGACTAGTGTCTATATCCCATTCGGGTGTGTGCTGGATGGTGGGGAGGCTCAGTGTGGCTGTAGGCAAGTTAAATTGTTCCTCAAAGTGTTCTTTCCAGCGTTCAAGGCGTCTATCCTGAGAGCTAATTAAGGAGCCATTTTTCTCAGAAATAGTCTGACTTATGATTTGCCTTCTCCCACCCGTTTCCCTGATGAGTCTTAAGAGTTGTCTAGTGTTGCCTATCGCCGATGCCTTTCCCATCTCTTTCGCCTTTGTCACCCACCACTGTTCACGGTCCTTGCGGAGACTTTTCGTAAGTTTCCTTTTGTGCAGCTTTCGCTCCTCATTGAATTCGGAGCTCGCCGGAATAAGTCTTCTAGCATCTATCAGTTCGGATAAGGCAGTCGAAATCCAACGGTTTTTACTCATCTTTGGATTTACCTTATTCACAGTTGTATCTATGGCTGACTGAATATTCTTCCAGGCTTCTTCAGAGTGAGCACAGCTGTTCAACTCAGATATGTGTTTCGCTAGTTCTTCCTCAAATAGGGACTTAGTTTCCTGATCGAGCTGGGGACGTGATGGGTTTACTGCTAGCTGTTTCCTACGTCCGTTCAGTCGTAAGCACAAACGAGCGCGGACCAGTGCGTGATCGGTATCTACACACGTGTTGCAGAAGGAGCGACAATCTTCTACCGACCCACGCCAACGATAGCTTATTGCTATGTGGTCTATTTGTGTCCAGCGTTGGTTTGATGATGGGGGTCGCCAGGTCAAACAGTGTCTCTCCTTGTGTTTGAAGTTAGTGCTTGCAAGAAACAAATGATTATCTGAACAGAACTGTAGGAGACGGTCACCGTTGTCGGTTCGCTGGCACGGAATTCCGTATGTGCCACCAACATTCTTCTCAGATTGACACAATTTCCCTACTTGAGGATTAAAGTCACCAGCTAAAACGACTATGTCTGAGCGTTTAGCCTTTCGCAGCAAACTAGACAGCTTTTGGTAGAACTCATCCTTCTTTTCATCCGAACTGCAGTCAGTGGGGGCGTAGGCGGAGATTACGAAAAAGCATCGGCGAGTAGTGCAGTCATTTCTCCTTTTCACTGATCCGTTCAGACGGACAGCACACATTCGGCTATCTACCGGGATCCAGTCAAGTAATGTCTTTTCTGCCCTAGTATTCAAAGCTATCCCAACACCAGCTAATCCTCGTGAGCTAGCTGTCGCATCTCCTGACACCCTCAAGGTGAATTTCGCAGATTCATCCTGTTGGTCAGGTGGGGTTAGGTGAATAACCACACTTGGGTCTTGTATGCGTGTTTCTGAAACACAACATACATCAATGGTTCGGGATGCCAGAGTCTTGGCTAGTGATGTTTGTTGTCCTATTCGGCAAAGTGTCCTAACATTAAATGCTCCTATATGAAATCGGTGGCGTGGCTTTAGGAGACTATCGATGGTGGTTTTTTGGCTTCCGTCGTTTTCAGTGCACACAGAGTGAAGAGGAAGTGAAGACCCATCAAGTAGAGGAGTTGCATTAGTAGAAGGAAGGTAAGATAATAGAGATGAAGATGGAGACAAAGATGAGTGAGGATTAGAGAGGTTTCGTGTGCACTTCGAATTGTGAGAGCGATTGTTACTTCCCGGCTGCCCACACCGTGGAAGTTGGTTGCGTGACCGCAGAACCCAGGGGACAACTGCTTGAGGCCGGTCACACGCCTGTTTTTGTTTTTTCTTTTTCATTTGGTGTGTCTCAGTAGCATATTTATCACTTCTGCCCTGTGACACGGCAGCAGGAAGCGCGGTCGTTGTTAATCCGGGCCCCAACCGATCCGGCATGATATTTTGTGATTTACTTTGAGTCATAGCATTGGGTTGGGTAACTGCTTTTTGTCTAACCGCTATCCAAACAACCTTTCTGGCATGGTAGGACCTCAAGCGACATAAGTCTCAGCCAGTATAGCTCGTTGGGTCATTGCGATATGCAAGCCCGATCACCACGTCAAGGTAGCAGCTTTCGGCCGGGCTGCACGAATATAACAGTATTTTCACAATGATAAAGAGACAAAGTGAAGAAATAACCACTAATGTTTGTCCAACTTCGCATAATAGAGACCAGCAGAACTATCCGTATCTTTGCATTGAAATCATTTGTTCTTAAAAATCCATGTTTCCTTGAAAGTAGCTTTACAGGAACATCTGTTAAATACCTAAATCTTAGACAAATTATCGATGAACAGACGGACGTACTCATTACAAATATGATTCCATTATGGATTAAGTCATACGGTGATATTTACTGATGACGTTTCGAACACAGTTTATTGCTCATAATTACAAGAACACTAAGTCTTTTAGCTGCAAACCAGTACTTATGAACAACGATTAATACAGTATTACAAGGGATAAATATTTAACTCGAACCAAATGTCGCTGTTTCCCCATCTTTTTGTTAATACTTAAGAGTAAATCAATCATGAGGAACTGTGATCCATCTTTAGGAGTTAGTCACACAAATGGTTGACAATCCGTAAATACGGCACAAATCATTACAACGACTAACAGGTGTGCTTTCCCTCAATTTAACACTTCAGTCAGTTTACTGAATTAGATAACACACTTTCCTGTGATAACCATAGTGTTTCGATCGTTCAAGCCTTTAAAATTATACGTTCACATACTAGATATCATCCGTATCGATATCAAGATGGACTTGTTACCAGAAGAAAGTCAGGTCGATTAAGTGTACAGGCGACACAGACAATAACGAAAACCAGCCACTTAAACGGCTGAACATGGGATTGTTAGGTCCTGTAGGACTGGTATCCAATGGCTGTTAGTTTGAGACATGAGGAGTGGTGTAGACTGTCTGGCCGAAATCATCGACACGCCAATGGTTTGAAACTGTTCGTTCTCAAGTAGTGCAGACACATTCTGCCAAATCTAGTAAATCCTCCCTATTCCACATGAGATTCTTATTCTCATGCTTTCCCATCTATTGTAGTCTCTTCGCACTTTTTCTTGACACTTCTGGGTACATTTAATAAGTGTGGCGTCCTGAACTGCTGCGCGTTTGTACGAGGTTCTTCAAGGTATATTCAATTTAGTGCAGATCCTATACTTGAATTCCTGCAAGAAACCAATCAGATCATAACTCAAACATTTTCCTCTAAAAATAAGACGGTTACTTAAGATTCAATACCACATCATCTATTACTCAATATCAACAGATAGCAAGATAATAAGTAAAGCTTTTTATCATACACGCATATCTCCACTGGAGACATTACAAAAACACGTATCGGACGGTCAAGGAATTGTATGGAACGAAGAGTATTTAGTTCTGTTACCCGAAAATGACGGTCGTTTAGAGAGCACTAAGCAAAGATGGCTAAGATGATTACGACAGAAAACTAAAGCACTTTTCGACTCGTCCGAAAATCTGGGTAAAAATGAAACTTGTTCCTCGCTAGGAGCATAAGACCGTGTATATTCACTTCTGCAATCCAAACTTGCACTGACGAACAAGTACCTGAATCGGGTTGGAACCACAAAATTTCCATAACTCGTAGCTTGGAAATGTGAATACAGTTGTAAATGCTAAATTTCCAATAAAAGTCTAGCCTACAGAATTACCATGTCGAAGTATCCAAGAAATTTCACAAATGAATGAAAATGAACAGTGAGCTAAACAATCATTATATTAACAATTTCACATACACAATATACATATACAAAAGATAAATAAGTAGTTATATGATACAACTGGATGTCTGATTTTGTGTGGGATGTTCAGAAATCGTAAAAGAAAATTAAGCACACAAAGAAAATTATCTTACATTCTAAGGTGATAGCCATTCTTAGTTACATAATGAGAGAAAAGTTATGTATATATAATGATAATAATCTTGCTGAGCATTTTGGAATAAAAGAAGAAACCAATTACAGTGCTATTTGCTGTTGCATAATGATAATAAGTTGAGTAGTCTTCACAGCATTACTTGTCTTTACAGGGTTTTTCTTCTGCTGACGGTAATAACAATAAACTACTTTGCACACTGTAGTTATCAAAAGAGCTGCACCGACTACTTCCACCACCATCAGTACTTTTTGCACTATTCAACTGACTACTAGTACTGCTAGTTGATGTGCAAGACCCAACCGAGCAAGTATCTGAAACGGCAGAGCTATGAACACTACTATTGATCGTTGCCCCCGCCGTACTCCCAGTAGTACTGTCACAACTGAATCCAACGGGAGTAAGTAATGTAGTTCCTGTACTACCAGCAACTGATGAACGACTTGAACGACGGTTACGTTTACTTTGTGGAGCACCTGGTCCCATAGGCGCAATCAAAATAGGCTCTATTGATGTGTCAGCCGTTGTATCTGATATTTTGGTTGGTCCAGATGATAATGTGTTATCGTGTTGTTTTTCAACAGTATTATTTGAACATACGTTGGAATCCGAAGTCAATGTAGTGTTAGCATCAATAACTACAGAGGATTCAGGGGCACCGTTCGACACTTCATTAACGTCGCGCATTACTATATCTGTATCTGCATTGACTTCATTTGACTGGACGGCAGAACAAGCCAGCATGACGGTATGTTGACCACCAGCGTCAATCATCAAGATACGACTGTAAAAAAAAACAACTCTAAACTTCAGATTCTTATTGACAGTTTAGTTATACAAATGGAAATATGATGGCAGTATTGAAATAATAAATTCACAATTCAGCACAAGAATAATGATCCACATATGTGCCACAGAAACGTTATATACCAGGTTAAAAAATGAAATTCTAGAAGTAATATGAGACATTCAGTCCTAAGATTTCATGAATTCAAGACTTCGTGCATTGTTATTGTATATTAATGAAATCACAATAGCTTAATGCACTGATGGACTGCAGCCCAGACGCAATAATGAACTAAACTGAGAAAGTTTAGGAATGCTTGCCTAACACATCTTAGTGCCAACTAAGGACTTCTATGTACAGGTGGGGTATTTAAGCTTAGAGAAGAATCGTCTACCTGCTGAGTCAGGACTACATTATGGAAGGTCTTCTGCAGTATCGCATAGATCACAACCTAATCTATCACAGTGCATAAGTTTTATTCTTATATCAATAGATCACAACCTATTTCTAGCCCGCACTAATTTCCAATATAGTAATTACCGCTGTGCTACGTTACGTCCTCCCAACGCCACTCAATTCTGAATTCTAACAAATAATGTTGCTATTATCAGAAACCGATGGTGTAAGTGAGTACAGGGTTACTGATCATTGTTTGGTCTCGTTGATCCTGATCATGCCTCAGTGTGTGCCAAGTTTATCTTGCCATTCGGTAGGGATTGAAAACGTTCTCCTTAGCAGGTTGACATTAGAAGTGGTGGCAGCTTTTAACACTGCCAAGTATCTCACTAAGCGGCACTCGAGACTTCTAACTGAACCCCCTCCCACAACGTAGTTCGGACAAAACTTTTTTGTCACAAAAGCCTTGGAAATGGAGAGTAAGGTCCATGTGGTTTAGGTATGCATCCCGTTGAAAGTCACTGGGTTCCCCCGGAGTTCCTTCCAGCTTCTGTTTACGCTCGTTGGTCTATTGAGGCAGATAGGGTATATTATAACGCGTAAGGCTCCTACTCATTAGATCGAACTGTGCTTACGTAACTACTGAGAAGCTTGATGGTCAGAATCAACAGCTACATCTAATATTAGTCGAAAGCTGTCCTAGCTTATCCGAGGCACCAGAGGTAAGGAAAGTGGTGTTAGCTAGACATAATGTGAGGGTGATTGCGCTTCGACTAACAACCTAAGATACTTGAAATGCCTGGCTGGGTACTTTGAGACATTTTGGTTGGTCCTTAGTGATCTATCAGATATTATTCGACATAACACTCCATAGTCCGTTGATACCGACCCATCAAGTGAATAGAAAATCCGAAACGAACTTCAAGTACTCAGCAGTCATAAAGCACACGGTTAATATAGTATACGCGCTGCTCTCTTACCCCTTGACGAGTGAAAGCAAACAATCAGCCATTACCACTGTTCTAAACCAACATTGGAGTTGAACAGAGTTGTCCAAACTCCTAATTTGTCCTCAACTTTGATATCAATGACATTCCTGGGATACATTTGTAGAAAGTATTGCAGACCAACAATCGTTGTGTTCATTGATACTATGACTGCCTTCGACCCGCATTACTTTTAGGAATGGTCTCTGTTCCTGAAAGGTTCGCTAACATACCGAAAGCCCTACACAGAAGGTTACCCAATATACGTTCATTCAGAATATTTACAGTACGTAGTGCTGAGTCTTGCACTGGAACAAACGGAGCAATTCTTAACAGTTTTAACATTCATCTAGCTGTTTTTGCTCGTACTGAAATCTAACCAGACATTCAATCTTCACAAATACAAATACAAATGAAAAGAACGAATTTTAAAAGAAAAACTTTACCGATCTTCTAGTTGTTTCCCCACCATTCTTTCTGGTTCCCAACTGTCATCGTCACCCGACCCATGACCTAACTGATGATTACTCCCTATGCCCCAGGAATAGCCATGACCTAAAAGTGTTTTTTAATAGCGTCATTAAATGCTTCTGCCTAACAGTATGCAATAAAACATAAACTTTTGAAATGAGAATAAATCAGTGATTACAAAACATGAATAGTCTTAAAACTCAATCTAACCCTTCAATAAACCTGAACAGGTTTACCTAACTAACAAAATAACTATTTTTATTATTGTTACTACAGACAAGACCATCCGTTTATTAATATCCCCTAAATACAAATCACACTAGGATATGATAATCTCCAGTCCATAAACTCAACACTGGCAAACGTGAAATATCTTTCCTTGTGCTTTACGTGATATTCTCAATTCATTGAGCAAAAACGACAGATAAAGATTCTAAAACGATGTGCTTAAATAATTTTCATTTCGAAATGTGCTAAAAAAATTAAAATGTGTATATACATGTTACATAATTTACACTTTTGCTGCGGATTTTGCTTTCTAATCATAATTTTAGAGGCGATTTCGGTGTGTACCGTACGGTGCAGCTATATCATGACTACATATTTACGACAACTACGGGGAATCCGTGTCGCTGATCAACTTATGTAAAACTGTTATCGAATGCACAAATTTTTAAACTGCAGCTGATTTCTATCAGGGTCGTTGTTTTTCGTTTTGATTCAAATCAGGATAATTAGACTCACTTACCATTCGTATCAACAGCGAATGAACACGCCTCTCCACAACCAACCCATGAACACACACATTCTTCAAGTGCACCAAGCACGCGCGTAGGCTTGTTCACAGAAATTTTGTCGAAGTTTGAACCCCGTCCCAAACCAAGACGACCATAATCTGGTCGACCAACGACATAAACATGACCTAAAAGAAACACGAGTTCATGCAGTCATATGCTATAGCAACGCATACAAAAATTAGGCAAAATGGTAAGTAATTCTCTTTTCATTTCCTGTTGATAATTACGGTTCAAAAACCAAATCAGTATCGAACGGCAGGGCACTTAGGTGAATATAGATAAACTATCCACAAAAAAATCCTACCAAAATCTGCCTACCAACGAACTTCAGAACAAAGATTTACTTTTACTTAACTAACAACAAATGCTTGAGAAATATGTATTGTGTCGATACACGGACAAGTTTATAACCCTGATGAACCTGTTTTGATATCACCAATAGAGAAGCGCATAAGTTTACTGCATTTGAATCTTGCATATGTTCACAAGATTGTAAAAGGAAATTAAGAAGTTCAGAAGCATTCACAAAATAATCATGCAGAAGACCACCAGTATTACGTGAGGGTCGTTTCAGTTTCCCTCAATACTGCAGTATGCGAAAATGTTCAGACTAAAATTTGAACGGTACTGACTGTTTCAACATAATCTGACACTACTTTCTAGATTTTCCTACGTTAGTTTTATAAACAATATTGCGTAGAAAACAACAAATAGTAGTTGAATCGAAAAGGAAGAGCTGAAATTCAAGTAAAAGTAACAACCCTATAATAACAAACTATACCTTACTGCTTCATAAAAAATGAAAACATTAACCCTTAGGAAAAAACACCGAGCAAGTTACAACTGGATAAGTGTATTAACTACTAGTTAAACGGGGTTAGTACCATAGTGCAACACTGGGTTGCCTATTAAAGTCATTATGTCTCTTGAAAACATAGAAACAAAACACGAGGTAAGAGTATTACGGTGACCACTATTTACAAGATAGTGAATATGGTTGACTCACCGAATTCGAGTAAAGGGATCCATGTCACAGAAGAACTCATTTTTGTTTTTCAAATAAAAATTGAATTTATAAAGATTAAAATTCAAAAAATGGCTTGTATTAACAGGAATTTTTTGAGAACTCCATAGAATACTTGCAGTACGTATTAATGGCGTACTTAAATTTGTCGCTTTAAATAACTTTCCCCAGTTAGACAGGACACACAGGAAGGAAGTAAAAACAGCGCTAACTTTCACCAAAAGGTTTCGTCGAAGTGCTTTTAGCAACTCAATGAGGTGAAAGTACGGGTGATACTAAATCTTATGGACTATCTCCAGATTGATAAATTTACAATACTTCCAGAAATAAAAAATGTACGAGTGAACAAGAAAGCAAAAGACATGAATAAAATGGAATTTTGTTTATACACAAACGACATCTATAAACAAATTACGTCAACATAATATAAGAAAAGCGATGACCCACACAAAACAAAGTATGTAGGATAACGTACCAAGACTATCTAAAGCCACTGTATGATGCATGGAGATTGCAAACTGACGCCATTCACGTACTGGGTCAAATCCAAACGCCCGTGTCAGCATGAACTGAATGATGGGACCTTGTCGAGCTACCAGCCTAGCTTCTGATCTATCAGCCTCATGACGATCAGTTACTAATCGCGCAGCATTTTCATTAATACACACTTCAGTTTCCATGGTCTCCTCAAGAGAATTAGAATCGACTGATGTTTCATAGCTGGTGGTATCACGTAGACCTAGCTGGCCATAGTTATTTAAACCACAGGCATAAACGGCGCCTGTGGACTGACAAAGTGCAAACGTGCCGAACCCTCCAGCCCATACATTAGAAAACCTAACAGCCCCACGGACCCGACATTCCGTAGGCTGCAGAAGAGAACCTGAAACGAATCATTAGAAATACGAGACAGGAAGGAGAAGAGATAAATAATAATTTCACGAATATCCAACAAAATGCTGAGTTTGTAATTTAAAAACTCACTAAATTCAAGTAGCTTCACAAAATAATTAGTTAATATATACCTTTAAGTAGTTGATGATGAAAGTACAGAATGTGGACGATGGATTACAATATTAATGTTTTGTCCTGTATGTGTAGCTGCACTAAAATTATGACTATAGTCACTCATAAGGTGATACATTCAATAAATAAATCCAATAAGCACCCAGCCCCAACAGAGATTTATCGCAAAAATTTGCCCTGACCTAGGGGACACTTAGAAACTATTTGTAATTTATTACATTTGCTGTTCTTTTCACAGTATAGAGTGGAGTCATGAGGTTGAAATTCCTTCCACTTATTAGATTACCATTTAGGACATTCCGAAAACATCGGCAGAAGACTTTACAAGTACTTGATCTTAACCTCTTATGTCATATGATCCGAATTCTAATGCAGTAGAACAGATCATCAACAATTATTTTCAAAAAAAATTCACGCTTAATGTCTATTTAGGTTTTACTCGCTATCTAAAGTAGTCTGCCTCAACCAGCAGATAATACATCATAACCTCAGACTAATCGCAGTTTCAGACAGCAGGTGGTACCATGCGCAAGAGATAGTATCTTTCGGATGGTATGGCAATCTACATGATCGTTGGTTTGCATTATCTCATCATTTTCACAATAACAAGTGCTATGTGACATGAACTTACTTATTCCAGAACGACCCCCATCCTTAGCAAAGCGTTCAGCCACACGACCAAGCTGACCTTGTTCACCACATCCCATTGTGTAAAGACGACCGTCATCTGTCAGACAAACTAAGTGGTCCTGACCGGAAGCTATTTTAATGACTGATGCTCCAGGAGTCAACACCGCAGAATTCATTGACCGACCAGATTTGGAATCAGTGACTGGAGTAGTATCACTGCTTTCAGCAGGACCATTTAAGGGGTAAGCTAGAAGAGGACGAGGTGTTTCGGAAATCTCCCCAGGTTGTGTAAGCCCAATAGGACCACTCGAGCCTCGGAATGTTCCCCACAACCACACTTGTCCGTTGCTATCCAAAGCTGCCGTATGACTATCACCAGCCGACACCTAAAAATAATTATCAAGTAGAAGGTTAGATTCTTTTTATCGAAATCAGCGTACCGAAAACCAATAAAATCTTACGTGAAAAACGGCGAACAAATGACTAATATAAAACAACACAATCAGCTTCGGCGTAGTACCGATGGATGTAGACAACTCAGTTGCAAAGATGAGAATTGTCTTAAATGAACAGTTGAGGTTTAAAGTGGGTGATAACCAGAAAGATGAGATAGATGCTGTTGCAAAACGCATCACAAGCGTACTGTGAGGTCTCCAAAAAAAGCAATTGATTGATAATGATGTTTACAATGATTTGAAACACCGACAGTGACTTTCGCATCAAATGTGTACTGCCGAAAACGCACAAACGACATCCCTCCTGAGACCTACATTTTCTGTGGTCAAGTCGGATCAGCACAAAGTTGCTGGTTGGCTTGCAGAGAAGTTGGAACCCATTCATCATCGGCCAGCTGTGAGCACCATAAAAAACTCATTTCATTTCGTCGAAATCCTGAACCACATGGACGTTTCAAACGACTTCATGGTATCCTTTGATACAACCTCCTTGTTCACAAGGATCCCAATCAATGGAACCATAGATATCATTTGTCAACATTCTGATCATCTCACACTTCGAGTGTTGGAATTCAAACGCCTATGGATGTGCGATCCCAGTTTGAAAACACTCTTTACATCCAAATAGATAGTGTAGATATGAGCAGTCCGCTTAGCAGACATCGCCACTTCCAACCCTGAAAGAACAAAGTTGAAGCCTGCAATCGACGAAACAACTTACTGTCGATATGTAGATGATGCATTGGTAGTGCGCAACAATGAAGGCCATGCGTTCTACCTACTCACACACAAATGCTGAATTTACTATGGGACGTGAAAATGATGAAAAGTTTCACTTCCTCGACGTCATGCAACGTGATTACAGAACCCACTGTCTTAGATGCTATGTAGCTACTATCCTGAAAGATCAATAAGTTAGCGATCTTCAGGAAAATCATTCCATTTACAATAGGCTGTTCACAGCATGTCTCCAAAATGAACCCATGTGGTTGTTTGGGATTGCTAACACCGATGACTGTTTCATCTTTTTTGTCGCATATCAAAGTCTACAGTAGTTGCCAAGACTTTTAGCCTGCATTTGAGCAGCTTTTGCTTCACGTCATCATCGAAACCTGTTGGAATCAATATTCTCACGCAGAAATCCACTAGCACTTACCAATTTTTGGTTTCAAGTTATCAAGTCTTTACTATTTTCTACAGCTAACCAGATACAATACCAGTCAATTTAAGGGCGGCTCTTGCTGTCGACCATGGACACATGCCTAGTTACCAGTACCCTAAATAGATTTTATGATCTCACCAAGAAGTTGGGGACGCAGAGGCTATGTCGATGAGTTTTATCCATCTGTTTACAGGCATATATGTGCACGTAATAGAGCGTAATTGTAGTCTACGCAAGTGTTCCAGAAGGAGCGGTAGTCTTCCGCCTACGCTTTGCATCGATGGCTTACAGCCACACGATCTATGAGTCGTTGATGTTAGGAGTCGTTAAGTTAGGCTTTCCCCTTTTGTTTGAAGTTAGTGCTGACCAGGAACAGGTGAGCATATGAACAGAAGTGCATGAAACTGCAAAAGTGTCACAAATGTAATTCTCTGTCTAGTGCAGCCTTCCTGCCAGAACTACATGTAAGCGTTTTGTTCTTAGCACCAAACTCGACAGCTTTTGATAGAACTCATCTTCCATTTTGTCCGGACTGCAGTCGGTTGAGGGTTTATCGGTGGTTATGAAGAGACAAAGAAACCTTATCTAGCCTAGGAATCAAATTTGAGCAGCGTTTCATAAAAGCACTCGTTAAGATAACCACTCAAAGAGAAAAACCAAATTAAAATATTGATTGTTTATTCTAAGCGGACTCCGATAGAATGGTGAGCTTAAATTAGAGGGAGTGCGACGGCAATTTACCTCAAGAACTCTTGGTTAAGAATGTAGTCTCGACCACCCTGAGCTTTGTCACAGACTGAAAATAGAATCACTCTGCAATAGACATCTTAAGCTAAGCCTTATTTTCCACTTTAACATAACTAATCTTATCATGCGGTCCTCCAGGCCAATAACTAAATCTACCGCTGTCATTAGTTACAATCTTAGAATTCATGACAACCTAGTTGCTATAGAGCATTTCCAGACTTACATACGACTCCTTAAATAAGTTTTCGGTCATTTGGAATAGACTACTTGCTAATGTGCGTTATGCAAACACAATCACGGTTCATCTCTCCAGCCACCAAACTGCTCAAAGATGACAATGCACTCCTGCGTCTGACTCCTACACCATATTTTTCACCCTACATATATATTGTCAGTTCACTAAACGTGAAAGCTACAATAAACTACAATAATAAATGTTAATAGTATCGGAAGGACATGATAAACATTTCTACACAGGCCATTAATATTAGTTCACACATATAATATGAAAGTTGGCATAACAGGACTAGTGAGTTAGTGTATCAATATAATCATGCACAAAAACTGAGAATATACTATTACCATTATTATTACATGATAGAAACGAGATTCCTAAAGTGAAGAGCAAACGAATTAAGGGAAACAAATACTTGTTCATTCTTCATTAAACTAAGTGAGTACAATTAGGCAACCAATATAGTGCCGCCCCTAAATGACTTACCATTACTACTTTCACCTTTACTGGGAATGATACCAGACCGAGATGGCATTCGTCTACGACGGGATGTAAACCACTGCGACTATCATTATCAGTAGTCCCGGATTCCGTCTGAGTGGTTCTCCCCAACGCTCCTTCGTCATTGCAACCACATGTAGCAACATTCCCACATGCCGTTAGACAAACCGAATGCATGCCTCCACAGCATATTTGTGTGAAATAAGACTGGGATTTCTCCTCAGTTATCTGTAGAGCACTAAGGCTTTCCGAACTAGGACGAGCTGGTCTTGAGCGCTCCGTTATATCTGGCCCCAATCCAAGCTGACCAGTATCACCAACACCCAAGAAGAGAGCGATTCCCAGATTAGAAGGAGCTGAAATATTGTTTCTTCTCTGTTTGTAGTTTGAACCCACTTGTTCCGACGGGGATTGAGGAGCACTAGTGGTTTCGACTAAAAGGAAAGTGATCTGAAATTAAAGTACTTGTGGTACTGTCACAGAAGTTAGCCTACTTAATAAGGATACAAAGTATGACCTAACAACAGTGAACAAGGATAGTTTCCTAAGTCATCAATTAAGCAACACTAGGAACTAATCATAGAAAAATATATGTCTAGTCCTGCAGACGCTGGCAACGAAAACTCAGCGAGTGTGCACCACTTCGTTTTATAGTTATGTCAATTACAAACTAGTAGTTTAAGTGTATTATCTATGAATCAGGATACCTGGGGATAGGCCACAATGCAAGTTCAACACGCAAAAACTGAAGGACACAATCACACAGGACATTTTCACTGCAACTGTCAGAGCAAAGCAGGAAACACTACGTGGCACCACTGAGGAATCATCCGTGGAAGACCATTGGAACTCTCTGAAGGTAATTTTCAACGAAACGTGTTCAACGGTTTTAGGAAGAAAGAAGAAACAAGACAAGGAATGGCTCTCAACGGACACTTAGAAGCTAATAGAGGAGAGGAGAATGGTGAAAGAGAAAATGATTCAATGCAAAGACAGACAAGAGAAAGAGACGCTGAGCTCAACTTACGTAGCACTGGACAAAGAAGTGAAGAAGAGTGCCAGGAAGGACAAAAGACAATTCTACGACAACCTGGCTACTGAAGCTGAGAAGGCAGAAGGCAAAAAGGACCTGAGGACACTATATCAGATAACCAAGTCTCTATCCGGGAAGAGATCAACACAAGTGAAATCTATAAAAGACAGCCAAGGGAACCCAATTACCAAAGAAGACAGACAGATTAAACAATGGGCGGACCACTTCAAAGGACTCTTGAACCGATCACCACTTGCAACCCGTCCAGAAATACCAACAACAGCACGTACATAACTGCAAGTTGACACCAATCCTCCAACGAAAGCTGAAGTCTTGAATGCAATCAAGCTTCTGAAAGCTGGAAAAGCAGCTGGACCAGATGGAATACCCCCTGAAGCACTGAAAGCGGACCCAGAGACGACAGCAGATATGCTGACTCCATTATTGCAAAAAGTATGAAAGGAAGGAAAGGTGCCTACTGACTGGAGGAAAGGTTACCTCGTGAAACTACCAAAGGGTGACCTAGGACTCTGCAAGAACTGGCGAGGAATCATGCTCCTGTCGACACCAAGTAAAATCCTGAGTCGCATCATCCTGGAGAGAATAAAGGACGCACTGGATACAGAACTCCGACCAGAACAAGCTGGATTCAGGAAAGGCAAATCATGTTCTGACCAAATTGCACCTCTACGCATTATCATCGAACAAAGCATGGAATGGTAATCAAATCTCTACCTCAACTTCCTTCAAAGACTTTGAGAAGGCCTTCGACAGCGTTGACCGCGAAGTGATTTGGAAACTACTCGAGTACTACGGACTACCCCAAATATTCATCAACCTTACTCAACAGCTGTACGACAACGGCACATGTCAAGTGATCCACAACGGAAAACTCAGCGAAGCGTTTGGAGTAAACACAGGAGACAGACAAGGGTGCTTATTATCACCAATGATATTCCTAATTGTGGTGGACTGGATTGTGCGTCAGACAGTGGGAAACGAGAAGACAGGGATATCCTGGACCGATGTGAAGAACCTAGAAGACCTGGATTTCGCAGATGATTTATGTTTGATGTCACACAAAATCGAAGACTTACAAGCGAAAACCGGCAAACTGGTCGAAGAAGCAGCAAAGACAGGACTCCAAGTGAACATAGACAAGATGGAGGTTATGAAAATAACCAACCAACAACAACAGCAACATCCAGCGCCAATCACCATCAACGGGAGGGATTTGAAAGAGGTTACTTCTTTCACTTATCTAGGGAGCATTGTCTCAACCACAGGAGGAACGGACGAGGATGTCAAATCGAGAATCGGGAAGGTGAGAAACACATTCATCAACCTGGAACCAATCTGGAAATCTTCGTCACTCAGCATCAACAACAAAATTCGGATTTTCAATACAAACGTCAAGTCAGTTTTGCTATACGGATCAGAAACTTGGCGGGTCACAAAGAATATTTTCAACAGGTTGCAGACCTTTATCAACAACTGTCTTCGTTCTATACTGAAGATCAGATGGCCGGAAAGAATCACAAACAAGAAGCTATGGGAACAAACAAAACAAGAACCAATCGCTCAACAAATATGCAGGAGAAAGTGGAGATGGATCGGACACTCGCTGAGGAGGCCGCTGGGTGACATCGCGCGTCAGGCCATAGTTCGAGTGGAACCCGAAAGGGAAGCGGCGAGTGGGACGTCAGTGCAAGGGTGACATGGAGGAGATCGTGTGAAGAGGAGCTGAGACAGTATGGACTAACATGGATGCAAGTGAAAAGTACAGCAGAAGACAGAAGCAAGTGGAGGCGTGCAGTTGAAGCCCTATGACCCACTAGGAACCCAACGGAACAATAATATAATAATAATATATCTATGAATCACAAAAGGGTTAAAAAGGTACCCTGTACATTAGCAATTTTAAATTAAAGCCAGCAATTTAATATTACTTCCAAAATATACTAGTTGAAGTGAAAAATATGATGCTTATTGGCCTTATGCTTCACATGCTAGTATGGTACGCACTAAACGCCAACCGCATATTCTCAGCACTCACAAATGCTCCCCAGCTCAGTTCCCAGTACTCTCACGAATTTTGCAAGTCTTATTGATAACTGTAACTGCTGACGATATCTTTATTTATTATATATACTTTTTGCACCAGTACCATAATCTATTCATGGACTCACCACTACATTTTACAATAAACTGGACACCCATGATAAGTTATCTATACAGATGGAATGGTGAAGAAACTAAAGATAAAATATTAGCGACATCTTCCAGGAAAACCAAAGGCTGTACCGTATAATGAACGCTCAGTGAACAATTAACATTGACAGGAGGAAAACTTTATAATACACTTACACTTCCTTCGTTTCCGAGAGCTTTTATCTAGAGTCATGGAGCTGCGCTTCTGTCGGACAGCAGGAGAACTAACTCTCGTCATTATATCACTGTCCATGACCGAAGAAGTTGGCTTGATAATCATGCTAGTACAAATCTCGAACGCTCACCTGTTAGGCAAATTAAAACAAATACGTGTCAGTGGAAGGTCACTTGGTGCATATCAGTCCTAGTTTCCTGATATACTTCATAAGCACGTCGTTCAGCCTAACAAGTTTAAATATAGTAAAACATATTCGCCCAAAAAATATACCTCTAGAATTATAAGCTTGAAGTATTAGTGATAGGAATAAAGCTGTTTATTGATTAGACATATTCACTAATGACTTTCGTTTCCTTTCTTGCTGAATTTTGATCCTGTCCCTCCTGTTTTGCATTAATTTAGGTTAACAGGTCCCACGCCATATCAAGTTTTCATTATTAATACCTATCCAAGCTCTTTTAAGTGATTTCATTCCCCTTACTGATGGCAATCATTTGTAAGCACTTTTTCAAAAGAGAGGATGAAAATAAGAGAGATGAGCTGTCATAAACATAGTTGTTAGTAGTATTCAATACATTAGTAAGGCCTAACAAGCATGTCAGAGTTAAGTATTAAGATAAAAGAATTCGCTGAGGTGTAAACAAGATGTGAAGGAAATGTTATACTATACAATGGCCGAAAAGTATGGAGGAGTTAGAAAGAGCTACACAACAAAAATCGAATTGCTTGAAAACGACATAATCACTAACATGATAATAATGGTGGTTGAGAAATTCTCTTTTGTATGCAGACCTCTAGGTTCTCTATTTGGTGGCCGGAGCTTCAATAGTACAATGTAGACGAGAGAACCTTGTCTTCGAAAGACTGCCTTTCGGCTTGCAGATTAATTCGAAAGAGGACCATACTGGCGCAGAATGGCCAGTGTGGTACTTTTCTACAGTAACTTGGTGTAATGTCAAGACAGGAGCCAAACGACCAGCATACCTGGCCCCACATGAACTGGTGAACTGATATATGCACTCCGAAATGGTCAGATCTTGTCTCCAAGGTTTCTGCGGAGCAGTGCACAATTTGAGGAAGCCATTTCTGTTGTTGCTACGAAAGATGATTTCTTCAAAGATATTGAAATCCTTTCCTTGAGGTAATCACAGGACGGGCTGCTCTTGAAATCAAATCTCATGTAAAGCTTCTTCACTAACTCAAACGGTGTTTCATACCTATGAATTCGCGGTTTGATGTTCATTTCGGCAAACCTCGGTGAATATCGAATTTAGGTGAAGATTTCTCTTGGAAGATCTAAATCCTCTTCTAACACTTCGGGACTTTAGGCAAGTCAGATACGCACCACGGGGAATTTGATTGTACCACGTTTTGATCCAGTCGACTCCCTGCAGCGAGTTATATTCCTTTCTTTATGAACACCCTGTTTCATTCCGAGATAACTTTCTACAAAAATAATACCAGATAATAAAACCATTGGTAACATGTCTTTCTGATTTTGCCCGGAATAAAAAAACTTGTCAAGGATCAAAGAAGCTGGTCAAATCAGTTGAACCTCAGCCATTTCACCTTCAACGAGCAATGTCTTTATCCGTGAGCATTGGAAAACACGATAGATAATTGAATTTTCAAGGGACAAAACTTCGGTGACTACGTTGTGTTGTGATTGTGTATTTCTGTATTCTCTTCGTATCATCGTTAATAAGTACATCTTCGGGCGGCCGTAAGTGTTACATTCTCCCTTCTCTAGTTGAGGCGGTGTTAAGAACAGCTTGGTCCCCTAATCTGGCTATAGGGTCAGCACGAAGCGTGGCCAAGTCTCGGATCTAACAGGATAGATGGATACACATCAGTCACTGGTGTTGTATCTAGTTGAAGCCATCCGGAACCGAGCCTGAAGTCGTTCAGATAGCCTAACCAAATGGTTTCCTAGAATCAATGTGCCCAACGTGACTTAAGCTGAGTCCTTGTCGCTTTATGCTACTACCCACTGCTTGCCCAGTTATATGGTAACGTTTCCTGCCACCAACTGCACCACAACAATAATTCTGAGGAGTCAAGTTTTGCATGTGCTGCTACTTAATATTTATTATTGTTCCGTTGGGTTCCTAGTGGGTCATAGGGCTTCAACTGCACGCCTCCACTTGCTTCTGTCTTCTGCTGTACTTTTCACTTGCATCCATGTTAGTCCATACTGTCTCAGCTCCTCTTCACACGATCTCCTCCATGTCACCCTTGCACTGACGTCCCACTCGCCGCTTCCCTTTCGGGTTCCACTCGAACTATGGCCTGACGCGCGATGTCACCCAGCGGCCTCCTCAGCGAGTGTCCGATCCATCTCCACTTTCTCCTGCACATTTGTTGAGCGATTGGTTCTTGTTTTGTTTGTTCCCATAGCTTCTTGTTTGTGATTCTTTCCGGCCATCTAATCTTCAGTATGGAGCGAAGACAGTTGTTGATAAAGGTCTGCAACCTGTTGAAAATATTCTTGGTGACCCGCCAAGTTTCTGATCCGTAAAGCAAAACTGACTTCACGTTTGTATTGAAAATCCGAATTTTGTTGTTGATGCTGAGTGACGAAGATTTCCAGATTGGTTCCAGGTTGATGAATGTGTTTCTCACCTTCCCGATTCTCGATTTGACATCCTCGTCCGTTCCTCCTGTGGTTGAGACAATGCTCCCTAGATAAGTGAAAGAAGTAACCTCTTTCAAATCCCTCCCGTTGATGGTGATTTGCGCTGGATGTTGCTGTTGTTGTTGGTTGGTTATTTTCATAACCTCCATCTTGTCTATGTTCACTTGGAGTCCTGTCTTTGCTGCTTCTTCGACCAGTTTGCCGGTTTTCGCTTGTAAGTCTTCGATTTTGTGTGACATCAAACATAAATCATCCGCACTGGTACTAATTATTCATAAATTACTCCTTCTAGAATTCTTTCCCGATAAATTCGTTGAAAGCATACGAGCCGATTATATCATGCTGCTGCTGGATGACAAATGCACTCACAGAACAGGAAGTAGCACAGGAAAGTTTCGAAACATTTTATTAATTTATTATTACTTATTATGCGAACATCGAATCCTTCTTCAAATATGTGAAAAATCTGGGCAGTTTGATGGTCAGTAATTCCGTAAACAGGACTACGTCGCCCCCTCCCCCTAAACCTTTAAAAACCATAAAAATTATAATTGTCCAAATTATTTTATTTATACTTATTTTGACCACTTCATCTTTAATTACGTGTTATCTTTGTAAAATCAATTTATTATAACCATTTCTACCTTTTAAATGTGTATTGATTTTCTTCGTTAATTATCAACCCATTACAATTTTAACACTGTCTAATTATTGTTAACAAACACATCGCCACTTGTTTGGTAAACTGTTGTGTATTGTAATAAAAATGCTATATATATTAGAGTAGAGCCAGAGATGAGGATCTAACTGAAAAGTAAATATTTCCACGCTCAATCTTTCTGTTTTCCAAATGTCTAAATGGGGATTTTTTCAATATTAGTTTGTCTATTTGGTGTATCACACAGTGAAACAGTACTATTTACTGGATGACGTTTCGAGCACCATTTATTGTTCATAATCATGATTATAATCATAATCCCACGACTTCGAATCTTCAGTCTTATAGTTTTCTTTGTCCACTCCTATTTGTCGTAGAGGTAGTAGAACTTTCCAGATATCTAAGACAGGAGTTGAATCATTCCTATTACACCTATTTGTAGTTGATTCGATAAACAAAGCTTCTGTTATCAATCTTTCCTTCCACCACATGATATCAGATTTTAAAGCTGTTATCTTATCCCATCCTATTGTATAATTGTGTGTAATTGCATGTACTGCTAAAGCTGAACTATTCTCTAAATTTCGTACCTTATTCGGGTCAACTAATCTAGATTTTGTTAAGTTTTTATGCTCGGCTAGTCTGACTGCCTCTCTTCCACTACTTCTATATATATGTTTGACCTGACGATCATTGCAGGCAGGGTATTAGAAAAACTAAATCGTTTTGTTTTGAAGGATCCACAGGATTCCTTAACCAACAGAGACTGTTTCCAATTGAGTTTTTAGGTTTGAATGCCACTTTTATTCCTGCCTTAATTCTGCGTAAGGTTTCTGAGGTTCCTTGCTTGTATGAAATTACTACTGATGATTGAAATTGCTTTTTGTTGGTGTTGTCTTGCGCATATTTGACATGCATGTCGTTATTTATATTATTATTAATATCGCCATCACCACTATCATTGCTTATTTTATTTTCACACCTCCCTCCATACTTTCGACTAATTTATCAGGGTAATTATTAAGTTTCAAGGCTTCTCTTAAATGTCTCACTTCCTGTCTTAGATTGTCGGAAATGAACTCATTTCTGACGAAGAACTCGAACATTCAGCCCCACTCCAAAAGTATGGTGCAGGTATGTTCATGACACATTCACTGGATTTAGAACACAGGATATTAATAGATTTTCGAACACATTAACTGAAAAATTTAGGCAATTCAATTCACCTACGAATTGGAAAGTCAGGAAGGGGAACCTCCAGTGTAAGATTTCAGTGTAAAAAGGAAAGAAGATGGGAAGTTAAACACTAGTGTTTGCAGGAAGGCCACACATTCAAACAGATATTTGGGCTTCCGATCATCCCATTCTATTTCCGTACAAATAGGATTGGTGAAATGTAGAAATGATAGAGCACAAAAACTAAGTAGTACTGAGGAAAATCTAAGACAGGAAGTGAGACATTTAAGAGAAGCCTTGAAACTTAATAATTACCCTGATAAATTAGTCGAAAGTATGGAGGGAGGTGTGAAAATAAAATAAGCAATGATAGTGGTGATGGCGATATTAATAATAATATAAATAACGACATGCATGTCAAATATGCGCAAGACAACACCAACAAAAAGCAATTTCAATCATCAGTAGTAATTTCATACAAGCAAGGAACCTCAGAAACCTTACGCAGAATTAAGGCAGGAATAAAAGTGGCATTCAAACCTAAAAACTCAATTGGAAACAGTCTCTGTTGGTTAAGGAATCCTGTGGATCCTTCAAAACAAAACGATTTAGTTTTTCTAATACCCTGCCTGCAATGATCGTCAGGTCAAACATATATATAGAAGTAGTGGAAGAGAGGCAGTCAGACTAGCCGAGCATAAAAACTTAACAAAATCTAGATTAGTTGACCCGAATAAGGTACGAAATTTAGAGAATAGTTCAGCTTTAGCAGTACATGCAATTACACACAATTATACAATAGGATGGGATAAGATAACAGCTTTAAAATCTGATATCATGTGGTGGAAGGAAAGATTGATAACAGAAGCTTTGTTTATCGAATCAACTACAAATAGGTGTAATAGGAATGATTCAACTCCTGTCTTAGATATCTGGAAAGTTCTACTACCTCTACGACAAATAGGAGTGGACAAAGAAAACTATAAGACTGAAGATTCGAAGTCGTGGGATTATGATTATAATCATGATTATGAACAATAAATGGTGCTCGAAACGTCATCCAGTAAATAGTACTGTTTCACTGTGTGATACACCAAATAGACAAACTAATATTGAAAAAATCCCCATTTAGACATTTGGAAAACAGAAAGATTGAGCGTGGAAATATTTACTTTTCAGTTAGATCCTCATCTCTGGCTCTACTCTAATATATATAGCATTTTTATTACAATACACAACAGTTTACCAAACAAGTGGCGATGTGTTTGTTAACAATAATTAGACAGTGTTAAAATTGTAATGGGTTGATAATTAACGAAGAAAATCAATACACATTTAAAAGGTAGAAATGGTTATAATAAATTGATTTTACAAAGATAACACGTAATTAAAGATGAAGTGGTCAAAATAAGTATAAATAAAATAATTTGGACAATTATAATTTTTATGGTTTTTAAAGGTTTAGGGGGAGGGGGCGACGTAGTCCTGTTTACGGAATTACTGACCATCAAACTGCCCAGATTTTTCACATATTTGAAGAAGGATTCGATGTTCGCATAATAAGTAATAATAAATTAATAAAATGTTTCGAAACTTTCCTGTGCTACTTCCTGTTCTGTGAGTGCATTTGTCATCCAGCAGCAGCATGATATTATCGGCTCGTATGCATTCATCGAATAGGTTTTTCTCTTTGAGTGGTTATCTTAACGAGTGCTTTTATGAAACGCTGCTCAAATTTGATTCCTAGGCTAGATAAGGTTTCTTTGTCTCTTCATAACCACCGATAAACCCTCAACTGACTGCAGTCCGGACAAAATGGAAGATGAGTTCTATCAAAAGCTGTCGAGTTTGTTGCTAAGAACAAAACGCTTACATGTAGTTCTGGCAGGAAGGCTGCACTAGACAGAGAATTACATTTGTGACACTTTTGCAGTTTCATGCACTTCTGTTCATATGCTCACCTGTTCCTGGTCAGCACTAACTTCAAACAAAAGGGGAAAGCCTAACTTAACGACTCCTAACATCAACGACTCATAGATCGTGTGGCTGTAAGCCATCGATGCAAAGCGTAGGCGGAAGACTACCGCTCCTTCTGGAACACTTGCGTAGACTACAATTACGCTCTATTACGTGCACATATATGCCTGTAAACAGATGGATAAAACTCATCGACATAGCCTCTGCGTCCCCAACTTCTTGGTGAGATCATAAAATCTATTTAGGGTACTGGTAACTAGGCATGTGTCCATGGTCGACAGCAAGAGCCGCCCTTAAATTGACTGGTATTGTATCTGGTTAGCTGTAGAAAATAGTAAAGACTTGATAACTTGAAACCAAAAATTGGTAAGTGCTAGTGGATTTCTGCGTGAGAATATTGATTCCAACAGGTTTCGATGATGACGTGAAGCAAAAGCTGCTCAAATGCAGGCTAAAAGTCTTGGCAACTACTGTAGACTTTGATATGCGACAAAAAAGATGAAACAGTCATCGGTGTTAGCAATCCCAAACAACCACATGGGTTCATTTTGGAGACATGCTGTGAACAGCCTATTGTAAATGGAATGATTTTCCTGAAGATCGCTAACTTATTGATCTTTCAGGATAGTAGCTACATAGCATCTAAGACAGTGGGTTCTGTAATCACGTTGCATGACGTCGAGGAAGTGAAACTTTTCATCATTTTCACGTCCCATAGTAAATTCAGCATTTGTGTGTGAGTAGGTAGAACGCATGGCCTTCATTGTTGCGCACTACCAATGCATCATCTACATATCGACAGTAAGTTGTTTCGTCGATTGCAGGCTTCAACTTTGTTCTTTCAGGGTTGGAAGTGGCGATGTCTGCTAAGCGGACTGCTCATATCTACACTATCTATTTGGATGTAAAGGGTGTTTTCAAACTGGGATCGCACATCCATAGGCGTTTGAATTCCAACACTCGAAGTGTGAGATGATCAGAATGTTGACAAATGATATCTATGGTTCCATTGATTGGGATCCTTGTGAACAAGGAGGTTGTATCAAAGGATACCATGAAGTCGTTTGAAACGTCCATGTGGTTCAGGATTTCGACGAAATGAAATGAGTTTTTTATGGTGCTCACAGCTGGCCGATGATGAATGGGTTCCAACTTCTCTGCAAGCCAACCAGCAACTTTGTGCTGATCCGACTTGACCACAGAAAATGTAGGTCTCAGGAGGGATGTCGTTTGTGCGTTTTCGGCAGTACACATTTGATGCGAAAGTCACTGTCGGTGTTTCAAATCATTGTAAACATCATTATCAATCAATTGCTTTTTTTGGAGACCTCACAGTACGCTTGTGATGCGTTTTGCAACAGCATCTATCTCATCTTTCTGGTTATCACCCACTTTAAACCTCAACTGTTCATTTAAGACAATTCTCATCTTTGCAACTGAGTTGTCTACATCCATCGGTACTACGCCGAAGCTGATTGTGTTGTTTTATATTAGTCATTTGTTCGCCGTTTTTCACGTAAGATTTTATTGGTTTTCGGTACGCTGATTTCGATAAAAAGAATCTAACCTTCTACTTGATAATTATTTTTAGGTGTCGGCTGGTGATAGTCATACGGCAGCTTTGGATAGCAACGGACAAGTGTGGTTGTGGGGAACATTCCGAGGCTCAAGTGGTCCTATTGGGCTTACACAACCTGGGGAGATTTCCGAAACACCTCGTCCTCTTCTAGCTTACCCCTTAAATGGTCCTGCTGAAAGCAGTGATACTACTCCAGTCACTGATTCCAAATCTGGTCGGTCAATGAATTCTGCGGTGTTGACTCCTGGAGCATCAGTCATTAAAATAGCTTCCGGTCAGGACCACTTAGTTTGTCTGACAGATGACGGTCGTCTTTACACAATGGGATGTGGTGAACAAGGTCAGCTTGGTCGTGTGGCTGAACGCTTTGCTAAGGATGGGGGTCGTTCTGGAATAAGTAAGTTCATGTCACATAGCACTTGTTATTGTGAAAATGATGAGATAATGCAAACCAACGATCATGTAGATTGCCATACCATCCGAAAGATACTATCTCTTGCGCATGGTACCACCTGCTGTCTGAAACTGCGATTAGTCTGAGGTTATGATGTATTATCTGCTGGTTGAGGCAGACTACTTTAGATAGCGAGTAAAACCTAAATAGACATTAAGCGTGAATTTTTTTTGAAAATAATTGTTGATGATCTGTTCTACTGCATTAGAATTCGGATCATATGACATAAGAGGTTAAGATCAAGTACTTGTAAAGTCTTCTGCCGATGTTTTCGGAATGTCCTAAATGGTAATCTAATAAGTGGAAGGAATTTCAACCTCATGACTCCACTCTATACTGTGAAAAGAACAGCAAATGTAATAAATTACAAATAGTTTCTAAGTGTCCCCTAGGTCAGGGCAAATTTTTGCGATAAATCTCTGTTGGGGCTGGGTGCTTATTGGATTTATTTATTGAATGTATCACCTTATGAGTGACTATAGTCATAATTTTAGTGCAGCTACACATACAGGACAAAACATTAATATTGTAATCCATCGTCCACATTCTGTACTTTCATCATCAACTACTTAAAGGTATATATTAACTAATTATTTTGTGAAGCTACTTGAATTTAGTGAGTTTTTAAATTACAAACTCAGCATTTTGTTGGATATTCGTGAAATTATTATTTATCTCTTCTCCTTCATGTCTCGTATTTCTAATGATTCGTTTCAGGTTCTCTTCTGCAGCCTACGGAATGTCGGGTCCGTGGGGCTGTTAGGTTTTCTAATGTATGGGCTGGAGGGTTCGGCACGTTTGCACTTTGTCAGTCCACAGGCGCCGTTTATGCCTGTGGTTTAAATAACTATGGCCAGCTAGGTCTACGTGATACCACCAGCTATGAAACATCAGTCGATTCTAATTCTCTTGAGGAGACCATGGAAACTGAAGTGTGTATTAATGAAAATGCTGCGCGATTAGTAACTGATCGTCATGAGGCTGATAGATCAGAAGCTAGGCTGGTAGCTCGACAAGGTCCCATCATTCAGTTCATGCTGACACGGGCGTTTGGATTTGACCCAGTACGTGAATGGCGTCAGTTTGCAATCTCCATGCATCATACAGTGGCTTTAGATAGTCTTGGTACGTTATCCTACATACTTTGTTTTGTGTGGGTCATCGCTTTTCTTATATTATGTTGACGTAATTTGTTTATAGATGTCGTTTGTGTATAAACAAAATTCCATTTTATTCATGTCTTTTGCTTTCTTGTTCACTCGTACATTTTTTATTTCTGGAAGTATTGTAAATTTATCAATCTGGAGATAGTCCATAAGATTTAGTATCACCCGTACTTTCACCTCATTGAGTTGCTAAAAGCACTTCGACGAAACCTTTTGGTGAAAGTTAGCGCTGTTTTTACTTCCTTCCTGTGTGTCCTGTCTAACTGGGGAAAGTTATTTAAAGCGACAAATTTAAGTACGCCACTAATACGTACTGCAAGTATTCTATGGAGTTCTCAAAAAATTCCTGTTAATACAAGCCATTTTTTGAATTTTAATCTTTATAAATTCAATTTTTATTTGAAAAACAAAAATGAGTTCTTCTGTGACATGGATCCCTTTACTCGAATTCGGTGAGTCAACCATATTCACTATCTTGTAAATAGTGGTCACCGTAATACTCTTACCTCGTGTTGCATTGTCGCATTCTTTTATGTTTAGTTTTACTTTAGACTCTACAGACAACAGAGAAACTTCTGGTGAATTTTTCGAGAGCCCTAATGCAAATTCTCCATTGTCGGGTATTTTGACAGGGATTTAAATTACTTTGAACCAGAATACTAGCCCAATTTTATTCTCTAAGTTTTCGAGCGTAACACAGGTCTCCAGTAGCACACACTCATTTCACCCTTTTATTTCAGTAGCTGACAATTTCTTTTAAACTCCTATCCTCCCCTCACATAATCTTCTTCACGTCACCCACAAACGCTTCTACTGCCATGCTTTATTCAAGTCCCACTAGAGGACCTGGAGCGCGATGTAATCCACCATTCTCAGTGTGTGTCCAATTCACCTCCATTCCATTCGGCAAATTTGGTGGCTATAGAAGATTCGTCGCAGTCTTGTTGACGGAGTTCCTCCCTACCATTTGGAACTTAATGGAGAACAATATAACTGAATTTTCTCAGTATTTTCCTTCATTCACCAGAAGATTGTCGGCACTCATTTCGGTTTCTTCGCGACAGGCATGTTATCAAAGAATATGGAGAAACAGTAATACAGAAACTGAATTCTATCATGTTGTATGCGTCCGATGCTTCCAAGTCTGTTTGAGTGGCATATAAGCAGTTCGAATTTCCAGTTCTTTTTCACTGATGCGTTTTGAAGAAACCGAAATCTAAAATCTCACTTCCCAAAAAATGTTTGGGATCTACTGATGGTTTCATGACAAAAATGCCTCAGGCCCGCACACGTGATGTACTCGAGAAAGATTTTCGGAAGTGATGTGAAAAAAGTGAGTCTAACCCTGGGTGCATCAAGCGAAAGCGATAAAGAATACAGGCAGCATACTAAGAGGTATGGATCGCTTCATCAGCTGGTGCTTACACATTACATGTAGTGCGAGGACCTAAAAGGATGATAAGTATTCCTTGTGTCGCACACTTGGGCGCTGATGTGCTTGCTAAACGTCGGCGGAGTGCTCTGAGTGAGTGCAGAACTTGCAGAGGTGTTAGTTGGTGGAAGTAAATTACGTAATTTGCACATATAGTTACAATACCTGCTATTTCCGCTAGAAAATGTGGGTTAACGTTAAGGTGCACTACAGTGACTTCCGATGATGCTTTCTCGCAGTCCAATGGGTAAACCATCAAGATGATGAGGTAGATAACTGCATTTCATGGGAGCGTGCCCCTTCCCCAAATATATGTTGTTCACTGGTTGACCATATCTATCGGCAAGAAATGGATCGAAGTTTGGGTTGGCACTCGACCTTAATGGTGACATTAGCGAAGGCTTTGCAAGCCAGCATTTATAAGAACCCGTTCTGGTTGCTTGTACGATAATTAAGCAATGTGAACTGTTGAAAAGTGTTAATTAATGATAATTAACGATTGTAATTTATAACAAAGCTGATCGTACCTTCTTCTTCGTTGTCTATAACCTCCTCTGTATGCATCTCCTCAATGGAAATCTACGCATATAACCCGGTACCATATGCACGTCATTTCCGATTTTTGCCGTCTTCGACCTTTATGTTTACAGGTGAACCCAACATCCATTTTTTTCTGGCAATGCATCCGCTGTTGAAATTCCACTTGGGTTAACAGATTTTTAATATTTCTTATAACTTTAACTGGTTGACTTTTTAATTCATGAGAAACCCCCCTTCGGGCATTAATAGAGGGAAGACCATTAGTTCAACGAAGAGTCTTTTATCAGTGAATTCATTTTCATAGTCGTCCAATCGCAAATATATATAAAGTCATTTTGTACGTGCTTGTGCATTAAATTTGTCAAAGAAAAGACACTTTTTTAAGGTTGTCGTGGCTAAGGGTTGAAAATTAGTAATACAGAAAGCTTTCAGACGAATTGCGCTCTGGGTGCACATGGAAACAAAATAAAATACGGAATTACGTAGGAGTTTTAAAAGAATACAGGAGTTTTAAGTAGTTCGAAAAAACAAGCAAACAATTAAAAGTTAGATCAAATCAACAGAGTCGTTACCACGGCAGTGGAAGTGGCTGAAAAATTTTCTTTTGTGTGCACAGCTCCGGTTCTTTTTACTGAATTGCCAGAGCTTCTGCAATACAAAGAAGACGAAAACGTATTGTCTTTGGCAGGTTGTTCTTCACTTTGTAGGCTATTTTGTGGGAGGAATTTGTTTACATATAATAGTGACGAGATGTTCAATTATTGCACACATTATGCACCCACTACTTTCTTTCTGCAGCCACCCTGGTAGTGTTCTTTGACCTTTTTTGACAGGATGCGCGTCGAACGTTCAATATATCTGGTTCCTCAGCAACAGGTGAGCTGACATACTAATGGAAGTAATGGGGTGCAAGAGCTTGTCGTTTGGGCCTCCGCAGATCAGCAGGCGACTGAAGAACACTGCTTAGTGTTGCTGCCAAAAAAATATTAAAGATTCATATGAACTGTGATCAAGATTTGACCGGATAGTTGCAAAATAATTGGGCGCCAAGTGAGAAGTAGATATTTTTAAAAATTATATTTGTAAAATCTCAGCGAAATTGAAATGATTAGTCTACAAAAGTAGACTAATTTTGAAAGTCTTAGGTCAAATTTTGACAACAGTTCATACAGTTTTTGTTTATTATATCTGTTGATACCTGTTTCATTATTCATATGACAGGACAAACAATTAAAAACGAGAGATGTCCTTTTATATATGAACATGCAGTTTTGTTCATTATACATGTTGATGCCTGTTTCATGACTCATCATTGGACAAAGTCTCAAAAACAAGAGATGTTCCTGTTTATAAATAAACCTCTGTTATGTTAACTTCGATTAATTTCCCTGAAGAAGTTCGGACCAGATTGCCGAAAGAAACGTTGGAACTAATCATTTCAATTTCGCTGAAATTTTACAAACATAACTTTTACAAAAAAGCTTAAAGCAGTGGAAATTCATTGGTGCTAATAAGGAAATAGAAGTTGAACATGTGTTTTTATTGAAATAAAGAAACACAACCTAGCAATCATAGGCCGTATAGGAACACGAATTGTATCGGTAATCTAGGCACACTAGCCCAATCATCACACGTAGTTCATTATTCTTATGTTGCGTATATCAGCAATGTTAGTGGGAATGGTATACCAGATGGTGGATTAATAATAATGTAGATTACTAGATTCAGTTCTCATAATCAACACAATCCATGTGTATAATGATACTATACACTGAATTAATGCACTAAGTGAAACAGTGAGGAGACTTAAACGAGTAATTGCCTTCTTCACTGCACTGCATTTGCAGCAATCATGAGAACCACCAACACTTGTTAGCCTAGCAGTCAGCTAAGCAGACCATGGCACAATATTAATAGGGGTATCTCTTATACACTGAATCCACATAACCCATATTGCACTGCGCCAATCAGTGTAAATATATACTAAGTCCACTTAAAGATAATCTTTCAACTTACGATAACTTCTGTCCAAAGACACATAAGGTGAAAGACACATCCACACGATAACTTCTGTTCCCACAGAAGGTTCTGTTAGAATTTACAGGTGATTCCCATATACTCATAGCATTCTTTTGTCGAATAGTACTGTTCTATACACGAAAACAGGCTGCATTGATATCCTGAGGCGTGAAGTCACTAAATGGTAAAATTTCTACATGAAGTAAACTATTTGCGTAGATGACATTACCGGGTATCTCTACACTATGACAGCCCAAACCGAAACTACCTGGCGAACGGACAAATGACCTTGACAAAAACAACTCTGACCGATGAGAAGGCTCTATAAAAACGGAGTCTTATATACCCAAAACCCACTGCTTATTTGCACTTAATCTCCCTCGATTATATTTTCTTTTGATCAACACCGTCTCATCCACGTGAACAATGACGCCAACTCTGCTAAGTAATTGAGGTAGCCTGTTCATTTTCCACGATGATAGGTCTCTGAAGAACTGGCACCACTGCACTGCAGATACTTCCTAATTTTCTGTTTCATACGCTGTTGCTGGCGTCGGTGGCACAGCGGTTAGGACGCTCGCCGACCAAGCATATTGTCCGAGGTTCGATCCCCGGCCGACTCACTCTTTTACCTCGCCAAGCCAGAAATAATGCTGGTGCAGAGGAAAGGTTGGGCATGAGGCTAGCAACCCACCCTGTAAAATAAACACTGCTACAGAAACTTCAAGCCACTAGCTTAAAGTCCTATGTTCCACTGGGGAACAAGAAGAAAAAAAACTGTTGCTGTTACTGGTCTTTTCAGTACCAAGAAATGACACATCATTAAAATTTTCGTTAAAGGTAATTTAGACTTTGAGAAAAATTACCTAAGGAATCTGTAAATTAAAGAAGAACGACATACCTTCTCGAAATGATTTTCTGGTTCGGCACTACTGCACCTGTAAACAAAACCATCAATGCACCTAGTGTATCTTTGTATATGCATGACACCTCCATATTGACAATTTTTCGACTTTCCTGTAAGTCTGTTCTCCAAACAGTAATCAAAAACGAGATCTAGAGCGAATTTGCAGAGCGAAAGGTGTAGAGCATCCAAAAATACGTCTCGATTACACGAAGTCACCTGATTGGTTGCTCAAGGTCATTTGTCCATTCACTAGGTAGCTTTGGTTTGGGCTGCTATGGTTTAGAGTCACCCATTACCCTCTAAATGACCTATCCGGCTCATTATAGCGATATTTTGACAAAGTCCACCTGAAACCCTAATCATTGCAACCAATATACTATCAGTGCACTGCAGTCGGATTGCAAGACGCGGACACCAACATGACATGTCAGGAAATGAGAATTCCTATCAGCCCAGAAAACATATAACATAATTTTAATAAAAATCATTGACAGAAAAGATTAGCCGAGGGAAATTTCGACTAACATGCCGGATAAGTCATTCGATACATGTCTATATAATTGCAGCAAATTACGACAGGTGACTACCTCCCAACGCGCTACTTATAATTTAGACGTTACCACCCAAGGAGAGGTGTGTGACATTTTGTGAATTTAGTATCCCTGCGAATCATTTGCGAACTGTTTCGATGAGTGAACATAACCAACCCAAACCTCCAAGTAATAATGATGAGGAACAGTCTGTACCTGGTGTTGAAATTGATGAACTCGATCTATCAAACATGGAAAGTGAAGAAATTGATTTGGAACATTGCCGAATTAAATGCATCAGCAAATTAGAGCGTTTCCCAAATGTCCGTCGCCTGTGTCTTCGGAATAATCTTTTGAAAAAGCTGGAAAATCTTGAACCTGTCTGTCAAACACTTGAGGAGCTAGATTTATATGATAATCAAATTACAAAGGTGAGTTCCATTACTGCCTCCGCGTTGAACTCTCACTGTTTAGCCTTTCTTTTAATAATCTAGTTTGCAGGAGCATCTGGAAGATGTGAATAAGAGCATTTGTACAGAAATCTACAATGTTGATTTAACCTGAAAATACTTAAGGCATTTTGAGTAATCCGTGGCATCCAGTGTATAACTGGGGATTATGGTAGATGGTACCCATTTAGTGAGTCTAGGCTGTAGTTTTATCAGCCTTTCATAGCACATACGAAGACCACTGACAAGTGGATTAACGTTGTTGTGACTGACCAACATCTTTTAGTTGGGGATTGTTACAAAGTAATATATTCATGTTCGGTTGATTGTTAATGTACCTGACTAGTTGAAATGACCATTAACCTTTAGCCTATACGTAATACACATACACTGGAGCCACAAACAAACTCAATATAACGGCAACCTGACAAACTACAGCAAACTCTGGCCTCAGTATTGCATTTATTTGTTAACCTGATTGTTTCTCTAGCATATGTAAATAATTCGGGTTCATAAGGTACCCTATTAAGCGTCAGAATAATGGAAGGGGAGAAAATTGCAGCGCAAACCGATATATTTGTATAGATTCGTGAACTCACTTAAATGTGTTTAAACGTAAGTCAAAGCAACTTTCAAACTGATACTGAGCTGATTTTGTTTTGAACTTTTGTGAAATATGACAACTTAAGCAGTCACGTTAATCTCAAAGTGTATTGTAGTCTTCCTACATCTAGCCTGAACTGGTTTTCTATAAATTAAAATTTGACGTTTGTGGGAATTATTTTGTTTTTGGTAAGATAATACATGCTGTTAGGACAAGCACAGTGATTGATATTAAGTGAAAAAGGATTTACAGATCCACTACCCAACAAACAACTAGAGGAGCTGTGGAATGAAATTCCAAATTGTTTATAAAGGTTTAATCCCAACAGTACAATCAGTATACCCCACCTAGTAGATGTGGCTCATAGGCTTAAGTACTCAGCTTATGGGTAACGGATTCGAGTCACACTTCACCTATTTCAAGTTGGGCAACTAGGTAGGATCGTTAATCTTCGCACGATAAGAATGCCTCTTAGCCGGGCACACGAAAAATCTGTCCTGCGTAACTGAGCTTAGGCACGAGCAGTAGACTTTAGTCAGGTCTTCTCGCTCTATACATTCCTTCGGACAGTATTTTTAGCTTTTATTAAAAGTAGGAGGATTTATATCAATTCCTAAGAGAATAATAATGCATAATTGTTTGGTATTGGATTTCAATAAAACGGTTCTCTAAGCCGTAGTTCTGATTACAACCCTATCAACACATTTTCAGCGGACTTAATTTCCTAGTTTTTGTTGTCTAGTATGGTTTCCTTCCTCATATTCTACTTCCGCAACTCAGAATCGTTATTGGGTTTTGTTAAGAACTTTTACCCATTATACTTTCAAAGTATCCCTTCCGCACATCGTGATTGGAAGCGAGTGGATTAGTCCAACACACATGAGTCTGTGTTAATGAGATTTAAAAATTTGCGTGACTGCTTCAATGATAGTCATCCACACCTGTAGCCATCAAGAGGAAAAGCCTTATTAGTTACTCATAGAATTATTGTCTATATATGGTGTATTTTTAGAAGCGCTTGTCAAACTCATATGGTCTATTAGATCTGATAATTTCAGTATCTCAATATCCAAGACGTTATACTTCATTTGTGGTGAGATCATAAAAAAAGAATCCACACATTTTGACTAGACTTCCATTTACAGCGTTGTTCTCCATATTTCACTAAATTGCACGTCACTGCTACAGTGACAAAAATGTACACATTTTGCTATTTCTACTGGATGAAGTAAAAAATCGGTTTCTGGAAATAAGCATAGGTCTTTAGTGCATTATGTAAACATTTGTCAAATCTCCAACCAGAAGTGTTACGGTTTCTTTGATCAGACACTAGATAGTAACTGGTGTCATGGGTCTAGTCCTTTGTTTGTTACAGACTAAATTGTACCAGTCAGTATTGCAGTGTGATTATAGTTTGTCGGTTACAACTATTTTCACTTACTCTTATCCAACTGTATTTAAATCATCGAGTCTATAATACTGCATCACTGTGTAATATCAAGTGAAACTAGTTACCTTTAGTTCAGTCATACTATATGTAGTTACGGAGCATCCATTTCTATAGGGTTCTCACGTGTATAGCAGATTAAATTAATTAACATCATAACTGTTTCAATTTATTAGAATCAGCCATATAATGTAGATAAGCGGAATGAAAAATGGTCGCGCTAAGGGAACTCAGTTGATGGTATGAGAATTTGGGTAGCTATCCCAGAACAGTAGCAGGATTCGAACAATTGTGTATAGTTAATTTTGCTCTTCTGGTGATTCTTTTAAGTCTTTTTACATAACAGCTACATTTTTATGCCCATGTTGCTCATTCTCCGATACTCATGTTCGATTATGATTTATAAGTCACCATAAATAAAGTGTCTTTAATCATATACGTCACAAGCAGCAACATTTCATGTATGAATGCAATCTCAAACAGCAAATCACCAAGCTCATGTACACTCTAGATTTGACAGTCGTGACAACTCTCTTCGCTATAAGAAGCGAACATGGGCACTACGGTATACAATAATTCCATCACAGAACGACTATTGGATAAAAGGAAAGTGATACAGTATTATATACTAATAACGTTTTTAGCGCAACTTATTGCTTATAATCATATTGAAGCACTTACATAACTTTTGAATTTCATCTATATAATTCCATTATTTCTTATCTTTGGATTTTATTGGCAGTAACAATTTCAATATTTCTGGTATTCACGTTGTGTCATTCGTACTGCACGTGTTAGGCGTAGATTCAATAAACAAAGACCCAGTAATCAACCATTCCAACCGTTTACCTATCTTGCTTTCCAGAAGTGTAGGATGGGATAGCGTCACAGTTCTGAAAAAAAAGGTAAGCGGTTGGAATAGTTGATTACTGGGTCTTTGTTTATTGAATCTACGCCTAACACGTGCAGTACGAATGACACAACGTGAATACCAGAAATATTGAAATTGTTACTGCCAATAAAATCCAAAGATAAGGAATAATGGAATTATATAGATGAAATTCAAAAGTTATGTAAGAGCTTCATCAGTATATAATACTGTATCGCCGTGTTTTTATCAAAGAAATTCTCTTTATGACAGGATTTTTTGTATTGAAGGTAGTTTCTAAGGTCTTGAGACATGTATTCTTAAAACCACCCACTTTGAACCTCCTTTAAGGCGTTGAGAAGTCACAGGTTATCCTTATCGTTACTTGGTAATGGTAAGTTTTTGTTTTAGTGACTTCCAGATTACACGACGAATACTTGAAGGGTTTACAATTACATAGAAATCATATAATTACAAAAATCAAATAACACATTTACTGAGTGGTGTTTTTCATAAACAGATGGCTATAAGAATGACTGTGTTACGTAGCGGTTTAACGTATGAAGTTTGTTGTTTTATTAGTTGAACTATAATAAACTGCATGCGTATATACATGTATATGTTTGCAAATTGTTTCAAGATCGAAAATCTGGAATGTCTTTCAAAGCTAGTCAATCTGGATTTGAGTTTCAATCGTATTAAATGTATTGAAAATCTAGATAATCTACATTGTGTGACAAAGCTGTATTTGGTAAATAATCGTATATCAAAAGTAGAGAATCTAAGCAGTATGCGGAATTTAGAAATGCTGGAACTTGGTTCAAATAAAATACGAAAACTGGAAAATCTAGAAGAGCTGACAAAGCTAACCCAACTCTATTGTGGTAAAAACAAGATATCAGCACTGGAAAACTTGGATACATTAACCAATTTAACACTGCTTAGTGTTCAGGTAAGTACTTTAATATTTTTTTGTGTGGTTCAACATACGTTTCAGAACTATATGATATATATATATATATATATATATTAGTGTTAAAGCGGTGGTAAGGTGTAGTCTGATGAAGTATAGGTGTCAAACGGGAGTTGAATAGATCATTGATACCCAAGGTAAAATGTATTGACATAGATTTATTCAGAATTTGCGAAATTGAACAGTTAGTTTTACTATGTGCATCCGCAGTCATATATGAACACATTAAGATCATGCGTAAAGGCATGTGCGCTGAAGTCATAAAAGCTATAAACTCTTTTAAAATTTATGTAAACAAGAATTTATCGTACAGACAATTTCGACTTTCATACACAGAAATACAGAAAAAATTAGTTTCATTTTGAAACCAGAATGTATGCTTTGAAAAATGAATTGTGCTAACCGGGCTTAAAGTGGATCCCCCCCTTTTGGTTTATAATGGGCTGATTTTCCGTTAGACCTAAAAGAAGCAGGTTAGAAAGCGAAGTGCGGATGGAGAAAGCAACAAGATACTAAGTGCTGTGTTTGTTGCAGCATCAATATTATTTTAAGATCTATTACAACTATAACTTTGAAAATCCTAACGTTTCTGTGATAACTTTTCTTTTTACTTTCTCAGGGTAACAGAGTCACTAAAATATGTGGATTGGCCAGACTTGTCAATCTGGAACAGTTGTATCTTAGTGAGAACGGAATAACGGAAATCGAAGGACTAGAAACATTATCAAAACTACAAATTCTAGACCTAGCGTGCAATTTCATATCAGAAATACAAAACATGTCACATCTACAAAATTTAGAAGAATTTTGGTTCAACGACAACAAAATATCTGACTGGGGACAAATAGAGAAACTAAACGTTTTGAAAAAACTTCACACAGTTTACATGGAACGAAATCCCATTTATTTCCTGAACTCAGATCGTACAAGACACGACCCTAATTATCGACGTAAAGTACTCTTAGCTCTTCCGAACCTCCGACAATTGGATGCAAACCCCACTGGAGTTAATATGTGATACATGAGTCATACAAATAGAGTTTTCCCTCACAGCTTAATATCTATCGATTTCTCGGACCTTGTGAAAAATTATGTGGTGAACCTCAACTCACTTTTTTTCTAGCTATTTTCAATGATTGTAAGAAGTAAAATTTCCAATATACACTTTGTGAACTGAATACTTCTTTTTCAAAGTTGATATACTAAGAGATCAAGGTTACTGATAAGTCATGTATACATCACTGAGCGTTTACATGAAACGACATGAAATAGAATGTTCGAATATACATAGTATTCTGTTGCTAACGCAGTACTGAACTGTGGGAATAATATTCCGACTCTAGCACAAACAGAATGTTCAAATAGATATACTGTATTCAGTTGCTAATGCCGAATTGAAATAGGAGAATCATATTCCGTTGGCACACATTGTCTGTGTCACACTACCACAGTATGTAATTTCATAATTTGTTTACTAGATATATAACACAGTGATACATTATTTACTAACTAATGTTCTGAACACAATATGTTACTCATGATCATACCAAGTGTACCTAAACACCTTCGAATCCTGGGTTCTCTTCATTCATTTTCATTCGTGACAGAGGCAGTAAAATTTTCCGGATGTCCGAGATAGATGTTGAGTCATTCCTATTGCACGTATTTTCAGTTGGTTCAATAAGTAAGACTTCCGTTACCAATCTCTCTGCCCTGTTATGCTAGACTGTCATCCAGTTGTATGGTTGTGTGTAACTGCATGTATTGCTAAAGCTGAGCTAGATTTCTTATCTTATTAGGGTAAACCAATCATGATTTTGCTAGGTTTTTGTGCCCAGCTAGGGTGATTGACTCCGGCCAACTACTTTGTCTTGATAATCATTGCGGGATATTAGATAAACTAGATTGTTTTATGGGTTTTCCAGGATCCTTTAACTGATTTTAATTAGGTTCTGAATGAGTTTATGGTTTTGGATGTCACTTTTATTCCTGCTCTGCTAAAAATTCCGCGTAAGGTTCCTTCCTTGTATGAAAGTACTACTAGTGTTTTAAATTACTTAGTGTTGTCATCTTTTTGTCTTTATTATTGTTATTATTAATTTTACTTCTGTAGTTTCCTACATCCTGATCGTTTTATCACGGCAGTGATTAAGTTTCAAAACTTCCCTTGTACGTCTTGTCTCAAATGTTTTTGGTACTACTTCGTTTTTTCGTCTTAATAATTAAGCATTTCACCAATTCATTTTTTTACTGACATAAGGTGGGACCAACCAAAATCAAAATATTGAATTAAATATGTAGTTTTCTGATAGCTTAAGTGTGTAACTCCCCATCTTTCCTCTTTATGATGCGATCTAATATTGAAATTTCCCATTCATGAGTGATTTAAATTACCCTTAATTTTGAGTTGATTTGTTCGATAAACCTACTTATATCCTATAGTTTGAGAATTGTGAATGTTACATCGACATACTTTGGTGGGGTCGGGCTGGACGTTTCAGTCGCTTAGTTTCCTCACCTATCCATAAATATATTTGCCGCTGTCAGGGATATTGGTATTCCTGTGTTTTGAGAGATTGGTTACCCACCCTGATCAATCGATTGTCGACGATTTCATATGGCCGATCTCATTAGTTTCAGTTGGAGATTCCCCTTCGAATAACTTATTGGATATTTTGAATGCTGCGCTGTTAATTGATTCTATTATAAGGTCATAATCCTTGCTAGTAAATGTTTCCATTAACTTTTATTTTAAATGTTCGATTTCATTTCTAAGAGTGTAACTTTCTAACTACTCTCTGCACTTCTTCTTCTTTAAGGCAACATTTTTCTGCTCATTTTTTGCCATCTTTAACATTTTCTGTCCGGATTAGAACCCTTAGACTTATGAATTACTCATGATTTCACTACTGATCAGGAAAATTCTACTACAAATGAAAAGGAATAAAGAGAACTACAAAATTCAACATTCGAAATTGTTATTATAACTGATGTGGTCATAAAATATAAATTATATTCGGGACGTGTGATATATATCTGGTAAACAAAAACTTTACCTGACTCTGCATGTATTGTATCATCTAATCTCATATAACACATTTCTTAACTGATAACTACAGCAAAGTTAGTAAAGTATATGCAACTTCCAAAACTCTCTCCGCCCAACCAGGGGATGAAAAGACAAGTTGCCGTTTCAAAAACAATAAGTGCATAAAACACTCGTCAACGTACATTCACTTTTAAAACCTTTGTAGCCTGAAATATATTCATACTGTCACCGAACTCAAAAGACAAAGCTACGCAATAAAAAGATTATTCTAGGAATTCAGGTGTATTCCACGTCTACCGTTTTCAATGTGTGCAAACACCAGGTGTATCCCATTCATACAAGTTATATTTCTGCATAGTTGGGAAAATATTGCTTTTAAAATCACGTAGTCTTGAGCCAAAGATATCGTAGGAATATGCAGGTGACACTCACCGTGTTAAAAGAGAGCATATTTCTAATTTCTTTACACACAAGGACTCAGCCGTAGAAGGAATGAAGTTCACGTTTGAGTCAAAAAATGAACAAACAGAATTAATTATACTATACTAAAAAAAGAGGGTGGAATGTTATGCGCCAGTGTTTGTAACATGCCATCATACGCTACTGCATACTTAGACCTTAGGGTTATCTCGTCCGTTACCTGTGGAGTCAGGTTGTTCGTTCAGCAACCAAGCGAAAATCCTAAGTATCGCATCTCTAAATAATGAAATGAGACATACAGAAGAAGCAGGACTTCCTGAATAATTATCCCAAAAAATTTATTACAAAGCTAACAATATGAAAGAAAACAGTAGTGAAACTGTAACAACAGAAGACAAGGGCCAGACAACAGATCGTTTATTAAGGATATCAACACATTTATAGATTTTCATGTACATTATTAAAGATAATTGTTAGCAGAAAAACAGTCTTCTGATTGGTTGTTTATCACTGCAAGTTAATCTTTCATCTCTTTGTGACTGTTTCTTGAATGTCAGATAACCTATATGCTAACTGTATCCGCCTACGCAAAGTCTGCTGTCGTTGGTTGTTGAATCAGTCTTTGTTCATATTCTTCTCACGACCAATATTGAAGACGTAAACTACTATCTACCGATTTGGCTAGCAGCCAGTTCTCACCACAAAACTGCAGACCATGACATAGGAAATTAAAGGCATCCAGTGTAGTAATATAAGGAAGTGACATCTGAAATCCTACGTAGAATTTTCAAAAAACTATGAATTATTGTGAGGTTCAATCCTGCTATCTGACTCAGGGACGAGCTTCGATTAGACCTAATAATTTAAGAGCCTGAAGAAGAAGTTATCGAAAACAATTGTTCGCTCAAAATCTTGTTTTAATAATTTAAATATAGAAAAAATCCCCATTTAGACATTCAGAAAACAGAAAGATTGAAGGAAGAAATATTTACTTTTCAATTAGATCCTCATCTCTGGCTCTACTCTAATATATATAGCATTTTTATTACAATACACAACAGTTTACCAAACAAGTGGCGATATGTTTGTCAACAATAATAAAGAGTGTCAAAATGTCAATGGGTTGATAATTAACGAAGAAAATCAATACACATTTAGAAAGGTAGAAATGGATAGAATAAGTTAATTTTACAAGGATAACAGGTAACTAAAGATGAAGTGGTCAAAATAAGTATAAATAAAATAATTTGGACAATTATAATTTTTATGGTTTTTAAAGGTTTAGGAGGAGGGGGCGACGTAGTCCTGTTTATGCATTCTTCCAGAGATGGCCACGGTAAGGAAAGTGGCTGTACAAATTTCTTCTGAACACATAGGCTTGGCTCGGTGGTGTTACCATCGCCCAGGGTGGTCCATTCTCTAATTTAGCGAGAAAAACATCAGCTAGGATTGGACCTAATGGGGAACCCATAGCTACACCATCAATTTGTCTGTAATATTCCTTATTGAATAAGAAATGAACATTCACTGTACATCTTAAAATAAGTTCCTTCAAGGTGGATACAGAAATCCCGATGTCTATGTTTCGTGTAGTAATCTCCTCACATATAAAATCCACTGTCTCCATTAACAGTACATTGGTGAACAAGGAGGATACATCAAAAGATATCATAAACTTGTCCCTCACATTAAGATATCTTGTTTTTCAACAAATTCAAAACTGCCGTTTACGCTATGTTTTACCAATTCATTATGCAGAGGCTTTAGGAGCTTCACTAGCCATTTTGCTGTTTCGTGATATGGGGAATTACATATGTCCAACACTGGTCGAAGCGGCAAACCGATCTTATGCACTTTTGGTAGTCCACATAATCTAGGTTGATGTTAATACTGCATTTAAAATTATTTACCGCATTCCAACTAATCTTAATTTTGCTCTACGAGTTCGTCTTCTACAGACAGCTGAAGCAATCGGAATCCACTTTAAGAAGCCAAGCCTATGTGTTCAGAAGCAATTTGTACAGCCACTTTCCTTACCGTGGCCATCTCTAGAAGAATGCATAAACAGGACTACGTCGCCCCCTCCCCCTAAACACAGTGGTTAGGACTCTCGCCGACCATGCACATGGTCCGAGGCTCGATCCCCCGCCGACGCACACCCGATATCTATGGTCGGCCTGCAATATTTGGGCTACCGATATCCATGCTGAAAATAACATACTTGTACTGAAAATACGGTGTGTCATCAAGCTGTAACCAAAATAAAAATAAATAATTGTCCAAATTATTTTATTTATACTTATTTTGACCACTTCATCTTTAGTTACCTGTTATCCTTGTAAAATTAACTTATTCTATCCATTTCTACCTTTCTAAATGTGTATTGATTTTCTTCGTTAATTATCAACCCATTGACATTTTGACACTCTTTATTATTGTTGACAAACATATCGCCACTTGTTTGGTAAACTGTTGTGTATTGTAATAAAAATGCTATATATATTAGAGTAGAGCCAGAGATGAGGATCTAATTGAAAAGTAAATATTTCTTCCTTCAATCTTTCTGTTTTCTAAATTATTTAACTATACTTGCAATCACCGATCGGCCAATTCCATAGAGCGGCGTCAATTAGGATGTCGGAACATACCAAAGCGTAGGACGACTGACCACATAAAGATGACTAGCTTAGAGGAAAACTCAGCAGTCGAAATGCATTCAATAACACAATGGCATATTGTAAGCGTTGTATTCCAAAATGTTTTAAAAGATTGGGTGATCGCTGAATCATGGCTGATCAGGATCAAATTTAGCGCTTGGAATAGGAATTACGAGTAGGCAAATTACTGACTTGGAAGTCATTATTTCCAATAAACGAAAGCAGACAAATTATAAGTGGGTGTATATACAGGGTTGGACTTTGGTGCGTGTCTTAAAGTACCTACTGGCACTTAATTGTGCCCGAAACGACACCAGCAAATGATACTGTATTACCGAGTTTCATCAAATTAGATTATTCTACAAAGAAATCACACTCCAACTCTGTTCAGAAATTCTGTTCTTATATCAATGTTACTGGAAACAATTCACAGTGACTTTCAACATTTATTGTGTTTACTGCAATTTTAGAAGGACAGGAGTTATGCATATGACTTTACAGCGTATGAAAAACTGTCCAATTTGTCGAACTAAATATCTCTGTTTGTTCAGCTCTAACAACACTTTTGATTATATATGTACATGAGTGGATGATTAAACAATTGTTTCAAGTATTATATATTGATATGTGCATCAATAATTGTGAAGATATTGCTAAAGTTATGCATCATCAAACATTATGTCTCCGAATTCTTGGAAGCCTAATCCACGCAAAGCAAACAACTCAGCACGTTTCCTGGCCAACTCCTTGCGGGCAGCTGTCTGTTCTTGTTGCAGTTTGTATATCTCTTCTTCTGAAACCCTCTGCAACTTCTCATCAATGTCCACTTCTGGATTCTAAAATAGGGTAAGTAGAAAAAATAGGTAAAAGAAACAATCAAGATATATATATATATAACATATTACTACTATTACTAATACCCTAGGTTCTGAGTGGAACATAGAGCTTCAACAGCACATCTCTATTTTCATATGTACTGTACAGTCACCTTTAGCAGACTTCACGATTGTTGACTAGCTCTCATCTCCCTCATGTCACCCTAGGACAACCCACTTGTCGCTCCCCATTAGGATTCCATTATAGCGATGGCCTGGAGTGCGATGTCACACAACGGCCTCCTCAGTGTATGCCCGATCCATCTCCATTTTCTCCTACATATTTGTTGGGCAATAGGCTCGGGGTTGGTTTGCTCCAACAGTCTTTAGTAACTAATTCTTTATGATCGGCCATTTGATCTTCGGTATGGACCCAGTGAAGGCAGCTGTTGAAGAAAGTCTGCAACCTGTTGGAAATCCTCTTAATGACACACTGGCCAAGTTTCTAAACCGTACAGAAAAACTGACTGACTTCCCATTTGTGTTGAAAATCCAAATCTTGTTCCTCATGCTGTGGAGTGCAGAATATTTCCAAATTGGTTTCTGATTGATGAAGGCGTACTTGCCTTTCCGAATCTGGCCTGCTTTGGCATCTCCATCCGTTCTGCTTGTGGTTGGAAAGATACTTCCTGGTTAGATAAGTAAAGGAGGTAACCTCTGTCAAATCTCTCCCGTTGATAGTGATTGGTTGGTTACCCCATCACCTCCGTTTTCTCTATGTTCACCGTAAATCCTGTCTTCGCTACCTGCCTATTCAGCCAGATTTTTGGCTGAGAAAATCCTGACTGTCATAACCAGTGAGGTACCATATTCAAAACGAAAGCTGAGACAGTTGTTGGGAAGAGCAGCATTCTACAGCTCGTTTTTCGAAAACTTCAACGAAATAGTAAGACCCCTATATTGGTTGCTGAGTAACGCGGGATTCACGTGGACGGAAGAGGCGTAGCAATTGAAGAGCTGTTAGGTGGTGAACAGATGATATTGAAATTGCCAGTGCCTAGGATGCAGTTTACAGTTTTGACAGACGCAAATGATGATGGTATAGATACTGTTTTAAGACAAATATGCTAGCCGTGTGTTGAGACTTGCAGAGCAAAAGTATTCTACGGTGGGAGAGGAGTGTTTAGCCATTGTATTAGCACCAGAAAAATGGAGACTGTACCTGATCGGCCACCGATACCACATTGAGACTGACCAAAAACGTCTTCAGTGATTGAAAACAACAAGGAGTCAACGAGGGAAGTTGTCCCGATGGATGTTACGCCTACAAGTGTATGATTTCGCGATTGGACATATTCCAGGATAAGAAGATGCAATAGCTGACTACTTGCTAAGATCAGATAATGAGGTCGAACTAGCAGAAGTACCATACGCAGTGAACGCTTTGGAGCAAGATCCGTCACAACTTCTTCGCCACCAGAATTCGGATCTTACTCCTAAGACAGTCATCCAGATGATAAGTGAAGGGAAACAAATCGAGACGTCAGCAGAGAATACTGAGCTAAAGACGCTACTGCATCACAAACATAGTCTCCAACTAAACGCTTCCGGCGTCCTAGCTTGGCAAGACAAGCTGGGTTACGGTGATGCCAAAGAGCCTTCGTAGTGAGGTAATTCAAGAATGCCACCAACTAGCCTATAGAGGCGCTGCATGGACATACGACCTAGTGAGCCAAAGTGCGTACTGGTCAAATATGAGAAGATATATTGAAAACTACGTACTCGTAAGCACGCAGTGCCAATTGATGAATGGTGATCAGTGCGTTCGACCACTGCTACAAACGATTCCCGTAACATCAATCCGTGACCTTTGGTCAGTGGACATAATGGGTCTTTTCCCTCAAAGATCTAGTGGAAGTCAATATATTTTGGTGATGATGAAACACGCCACGCGGTGGATAAATGCCATGGCAACTCCAGATCAGTGCGCAAAGACCGTGACCGAGGCTCTAATTCGATATGTTGTGACGGATCATGGTGTACCAAAAATGATATTGACGGACCAAGGTCCACGTCTTGAGAGTGAGTAGTTCAATACTCGTCTGGTGGCACTCAAGGAGTGGCCAGCTGCGAAGAGAAACGACTGGGAAACTGACCTACCATTGGTACTACTGGCACATCACGACATAATACAGGGGACAACAAAAGAGTCGCCCATCCAGCTGATGCATGAGAGGAAACCACGCTTGACCACAACAACAACATTGGGATAGTAAGAGATGAACAAGTGAGCGGAAACAAGCTATTCAGAATATACACAAGAAGCAAAAGGCAGATATCGAGAAAGCTAGCAAGAAACAAATCAAAGCTTGGAAGCCGTTTGAAGTAGGCGAAATGTAGAGAACGAAAGTATATTACCCGAGGTGGACCAGGATCAGATAGGCTTCCCCAATGTGTGACAGACTATATATAGTCACATCGAGACGTGATCCAGTGTACACAATAAAGAGAGGAGATCGAGAAAAAAGAGTAAACGCCAGTCTGCTGCGAAGATGGATAAAAATGTCAAGACGAGAAATACAAAAAACAGAGGGACGGAACCTCTGTGCGTCGGTCGAGGCGTTTACAGGAGAGACTTTATGATAAGGGGGCGAGTGTAGTGAGCGCTACTAACAATCAGATATAAGTAGTATATCAGTAAACGAATTCAGAAAAGTAATAATATGTTTTAGACACTGGAAAAAAAAAAGCAATCGAAGAATAGAACTGTGAGAAGAGCGTTGCATTACTGTGCAGAATCCAACAAGCTATCGAATGTGGTGATATTCAACCAATTTCTAAATGATGTGAAAATAAGGACTTAAAGACAAGGTTTACCAAATCTAGGTGCCTACAATGCGTTTGTCCGAAGAAACATTGCCTTCAAGCCCCATTGATCTTTTTTTCTTTACATCAGCTTAGTCTGGGACGTTTTGCATGTAACCTACACCAGTATTTATCGACCTACATAGGGACGATGACATTCTTAAAATTACATTCCAATAAGCCAAATGCAGCCAGCAGTTCAGAAAGGAATCTCAATACTGAACATAAAATTTGCATGGAGTAACTACTTTTTGTCTTGACTTTGGGCTCTGTTCTTCTCTGTGATTCCTTTGTTTTAACGACCGCTTTGGTAATTATTTACTTTCTTTTTTCATTTGACACTGCCTATATGATATCCACCTATATTTTGTTTTTATGGATAACATCTGATTATCAGAATAATTCTAACTAAATGAGTTTCTAAGCAGAACTTTGGTCAAAAGTACAACAGTTCAGGTAGTCACACTATATAGCACACAAAGGCAGAGAAAAGAAAAACAATTCAAAGGAACTACAATGAGCAGAAATGTACGAGAGAAAGAAAAGTAACGTGGAAAATTATGAAAACTTAATATATCTGGGAGATTACAAAGAGTGAATGCATCTAAGGCAGTGAGAACAGTCTTGAACTAAATCACCAAAAGTCTCAAGTCACTGGTTCTAAGTATCCTGAGGACCTCAACCAAGCAGTCTACACCACCTTGTAGCTCAAACTAACAGTTAAAGACTTCGACGATTGATGTCATGTTTCGGTTTCACCACCGCTAACGCTTATCTAACCTAATTCTATGCCACCTAGCATCGTTCGGCGAAAGCACGAGTAACACATGCCTTAGCCATCTGAATTGATGTAGCTTCAAAGTCACATCGATTGATTCGCCCTCCTCACCAAAAATTACATCTCACCTCAATATCACTCACTATATTATACCGCTTAACACAAGAGATAGAACGCAAACAACTCTGGTCGAAATCAGTTAGGCTTTTCATATCTTCCACTTCCAGTGTCCATGTCTCAAAGAAAAATGCTGTGCAATACACCCGTCCTTCCATCGATAGCCAGATATCACGAGTACGCCACAGATGACGTACACTACTGAATGCCACAAAAGCCTTTTGCATCCCAACCCAGATTTTTTCAGCAATCAGTCTGTTAGGACAGATGCAACTTCCCGAAAAAGTGAAGCGGTCAAAACGCTGTGCCACTTCACAGACCATCTTTAAACTTGGAGCCCATGGAGACCAGTCTTGCAGAATCATCTTACATATGGCAGGGGTGAATCGCAAGAATCGTGCTAGAACTATTCAGAAGACCTAACACTTGGCCAGCGTCTTCACTTAGGTAGGCAATGTCATTCCCATACTCTAAGCCAACGATATTTTTCTCTAGTAACATGTTAATCCCTAAGTTGCTCAAGTCAGTCAGGGTCAATTACATCAGTACATCTATGAAGAAATTAAACAAAAATGGGTATCTCTGATTGAACCACTGGTTGTCATCACTGCAAACGGCGAATCCCCATAAGCCCTTACACGATGGTATGAGTTCAAATAGAGCGCCTTGATTAGTGCAACATACTTTCTTGGTACTCTCTTCACGGCCAAACATTGCCTCTCAGTCGATGGATTGTAATTCCACCTTCAGGTCATGAAATATGGCAAACATTGAACACCAGTAGATATGCCTATGTTCCAAAATCTGTTGGAGGGTGAAGCTATAATCAAAACACTCTCTTCCTGGCTACCTGGTTTTCTCGAGTTTGCTTCTCCTGAGTGCCACTAAGTCTGTGCATGATCACTGAACCTGAAACTTCAGGTACTATATAAGCCAAGTTAATCCTCTTATAACCATCTCGAGAAGATTTGTCTTCCTTCTTATAAGGTGTGATAATCAATGAATTACGCCAGTCTAACTTAACTATCTCTGATTGCCGGACACTACCTGATATATTTGATAATCCAGACAACAGTTCATCATCACTGACCTTAAACACCTCAGGAGTTATTCCAGCAGGTAGCATTGCTTTGCCTCATTGCAGATTGCAGACAGCACTTGCAATTTCAGTTACAGTTGGAGAACCGACTTCGACATCCCATTCAGGTAGGTGTCGGATACTGCGCAAGTTGAGTGGGTTTATAGACCAGTTAAATTACTCCTCAAAAAGCCACCCCCCACCCCAAAGTTACCAGAATAATTCATTGATGTAAAATTGTTAATTTCAATACACTTTATTTTACACTTTGGTTAGCCTTCCATACTTACAAGTGTCCTTTTGATTTTTTTTTTATCATTACGGCCAACCAACTGCTACATATCTCTAAAAAAGCTATGCAAAAGTTAAATTGTACAAGTATGCAAATGAATTTGTCCAAAAAAGTATCCTCCTTGAACTACCACCTCTTTCCTTATCAATAAAACCAGTCGTTTTTTTTAAGATTTAAAGTATGATGAGATTTATTTCATTCAAAAAATAAGCCTTTAAGCAAATACTAGTTCCCGACTTTTTTTCAAAAATGCAAAAATCAGTGGAAAACGTAGATGTTTTAATTAGGTATAGTCTGTGCTGGATTATCCTATTAGGTGCTGTAAATTTTACAAACTCTGAACAGTTTTCACCGTGAGATGAGAAACAAATAGAAATATTTGAATGTTGTCGAGAAAATGGTACATGAACACTATTATCTTACCAGTTCTCCAATAATAATAATATTTTCACCCCTAATTAGTAGAATGCCTTGGGGAACATCGCAGAATTTTTTTTCCACATGAATACGTTCCACAGCTTCATGAAGAACAACATTTCCTGAAAAATGTAAATTTTATGTGAAGCCTTACCAAACTGATCGATTATTCTCAGATATCCAATAAACATTCGGCCACCACGGAGACTGATTGCCATTTTCTCTAGAAAAGATTGTTTTACCACCTGCAATCATAACGAACTTCCAATATCCTGAATAAGACTAGCTGCTCCTGGATAATTATTTTCCAACGATGGCATCTTCAAGTGCACCTAGGTTATTACAAACAAATTAATATATCATTGTGAATAATCAATGACAAAGGTATCCACCAAAGAATAGAAAGTAGGTGCAACTCAGAAGTTAAGTGTATGCTTAATTATTGAGTGGTGGGGAAAACCTATCGCATAGAAAATGGTAATATCCCCACAATAATCAGTGCGAAGATAAGATCACAATGAGCCAACCTTTAAAAACGAAGTGTTTAGCCTACCGAGTGATAGTTCACATTGTTTATCTATATGTGGGAGACCCACACTGTTTATATATATATATATATATATATATATATATATATATATATATATATATATATATATGGTCCTAATGGCTACAATTCGAAGTGAACATTTCTAATACTTTGCGGCTGAATACAAGAGCTAATACAAAAAATATCAACTTCTAGAGACCGTTTTTTGGATCAACACCTACGATCGATGAATTTACGTCAAACAAATAGTTCGGTCTATACACTATACATCATATATATATATATGTCAAAAGAGATTCTTTAGAAACGTAACATTAACGAAGGGAAAGTATATCCCTATAGCCATATCCAGAAATTTTATCAGTCAACTTAGACCAAATGTATTGAATGAGAACTACATGTTGAGACCTGAAAATTGGCCGTGTTGTGTTTCATTATAGGCATTCCCAAATAGTAACACTCACAAAGTATGTATTCTCCGCTATGCGATTAGTCATTAACATTTCATGATATCCATAACCGCAGTACTTAGCAGCAGTTTGTTCTGAACCGCTTTACGGCTGCTATGGCTGTTGAAAAGAAACGCAGAGATATCTGTTCAAAAGTTTTTTTAGTTACTTGCTATATGGGGCAACATAATACACAATACTGAGGTTCAACATCGAATGTCAGTAACAAAAGTAAGCTAATCGATGAGATTATGAGACTCCATTCACTGAGGTAGCTACAACACTATTACACATGCTGAGCCACTTCCTTCAACAATTGGTAATGTTACTTAAAGCAGGATTACGTTCAGAATAATTGGTCCGAGTAAAATATGGCACCAACTAACGAAGTATCAGACAGTTGAATTGACTCGGGTACGGTATACACTGCCTCGCTAGGATCAATAGTTAGAAACTGAGAAATGGTGAAGATAATTTAAAAACTCCATTTTTCATACTCTGTGAAACTTCACCAATTTTCATCCCTGTTACACAGAAACACGTTTGTCTTTCATGGTGTCAATTTATTTCTACCCCTTAGACTTGTGTGCTTTCCCGAAATTCATAAACTTGAAATGAGGTAGGTTTCTTAAAAGTATGCATCTGTCATATGATAAAGTGGACAAAAATGAACTGCATGAAACCTGATGTAACTGATATATGTGTAAAACGTGGGCACTGTGGTAGTACGTAATTCCATATTAGTTTGTTTATTAGATATATCACACAGTGAAACAGTATTATTTACTGGATAATAATAATACTGTTTCACTGTGTGATATATCTAATAAACAAACTAATATGGAACTGATGTAACTGAACTTTAAGTGAATAGTAAAGCTTGAATTTCAAGCCTGACAGTCTTGAGTTCGATTCCTTAGATAACCATAGTCCCGATCTCCCTAAGATCCATTTAATTGGATCAAGCCTGCTGCAACTGCTGGATTCAACATAGAACTTGGCACCGAAGTGCAGCAGTTCGAGTTGCCACGTTCCAAAGAGCACACAACGGTAGACAAGAAAATGAGAGAAGAGAATCAATAGAATTTAGATAAGTATAAGAGTGAAACAGAGTGAGTAATGGTAGAAAGGAATATGAAAGGTTAAAGAGACTGAATACATCTGCGCCATTGACAACGATTTTGAGCCATGTTACAATTGTCTCCAGCCATTGATTCTTAGAGTCCCCAGGGGCCCCAACCCGGAAGTCTGCATCTCCCTACCTGACTCAGTTTAACTGTCAGGGATTTCATGGATTGATACCATGTTTTTGTTTGGTCACCGCTTACTCCTTTCCAATCTGCACCTATATCAGCTAGTAATGCCCGTCGGGGGAGGCGATGGTTAGGCATGCGCAGCATGTGACCTAGCCATCTCAATCTATGTAACTTTATAGCCTCGTCGATTGATTTTCCCTCTTTGCCCAACACTCTACGCCTAACGTCAACATTACTTACCTTATTTATACTACCTAACGTGAGAAAGAGATCGTAGACATATATGATCAAAAACAGTCAACCTTTTCACGTCTTCAACTCGTATTGGCCATGTTTCAGAGCCATAGAGAAGGACGGAGCGAACTGCTGAGCAGCACACACGTCCCTTGGTTGATAGCCGGATGTCACGCCTACGCCAGAGACGGTGTAAATTAGCGAGAGCAGCTCGAGCTTTTTGGATCCGTGCTGAGATTTCGTCACCAATTAATCCGTTGGTGCTGATACAACTTCCCAAATAGGTGAAGTGGTCAACGTGTTCTATCACTTCACTCCCTATCACTAAGCTAGGAGTTGACGTAGTCCAGTCCTGTAGCAGCATCTTACATTTCACAGAGGCGAATCGCGTGCCAAACATACGAAGATTGCTGCTCAAGGTGTTCAGAAGACTCTGCATTTTGTCAGCGTCTTCCCCTAACAGGACTATGTCGTCTGCGTATTCTAAGTCTATAAGACTATTCCCTGGTAACAAGTCGATTCCTAAGTCGTTAAGTTCAGTTAAGGAGACTTCCATTAGCATATCTATGATGAAGTTAAACAGAAAAGGGGAAAGTGGACATCCTTGACGGACACCACTGCTTGTTATCAATTCAGATGACAATTCCCCATAAGCCCTTACACAGCTACGTGAGTTTGAGTAGAGTGCCTTGATTAGTGCAATGTACTTTCTTGGCACTCCCTTCATAGTCAAACATTGCCATAGAACCTCTCGATCCACGGAGTCGAAGGCTGACTTCAAGTCAAGAAATATGGCAATTGTTGGACGCCTAACAGCGTGCCTATGTTCTAGGATCTGTCGGAGAGTGAAGATATGATCTATGCACCCTCTACCTGGCCTAAAGCCCGCTTGATTTTCCCTCGTTTGTTCCTCCCGAGTTCGGCTTAGTCTGTTCATGATTACTGAGCCTAGGATTTTAGAGACTATGTTCGTCAGGCTGATTCCTCTATGATCATCTGAAGTGGTGACAACTAGTGGTGTCCGTCAGTGATGCCCACTATCCCCATTTCTATTCAATTTCATCATAGATGTACTAATGAACTTAACCCTAACTCACTTCAGAAACTCAGGGATTGACTTGTTACCAGGGAATAATCTGGTCGACTTAGAATATACAGATGATATAGTACTTCTGGGTGAAGACGCTGACAAAATACAGTCTTCTGAACACCTTGAGCTGCAATCTGCGAATGTTTGGCGTGCAATTCACTCCCGCCAAATGTAAGATGATGTTACAGGATTGGACTACATTGGCACCTAGCTTAGAAATAGGGAGCGTGTTGACCACTTCACTTATTTAAGAAGTTGCATCAACCCCAAAGGTTTGACCTTTGACGAAATCTCAGCACGGATACAGAGGGCTAGTTTCGCATATGCCAGTTTACGCCGTGTCTGGCGTAGACGTGATATCCGACTATCGACCAAAGGGCGGATGTACTGCTCAGCAGTCTGCTCCGTCCTCCTTTATGGCTGTGAGATCTGGCCGTTGAGAGTGGAAGACATGATCATTGGTGTCTGCGTTCTATCTCCCGTGTGAAGTGGTATAGTAGGGTAAGCAATACTGAGGTTAGGCGTCGGTTAAGTGCTAGGTACGGAGAGGAAGTCGACCGAAGAGGTTGTGAAGTTACATCGATTGAGACGGTCAGGACAATTACGCATGCCTAGTCATCGCCTTCCTCGACGGGCAATCTTAGCTGACATAGGATCAGGTTGGAAAAGAGCTAGTAGTGGTCAAAACAAAATACGGCATCAATTAGTGAAATCCATAGCAGTTAATTTAAGCCACATAAGGAGGTGAAGACTTCCTGGTTGGAGTCCTCGGGATGGTAAAGACCAGCGGCTGGGGACAATCGGTGATATCGGCTCAAAATAATTCTCTATGGTGCAGATGGATTCACTATCCATGACTCATTACATTCGATAAAGCTCTATGGTTTTTCCACAGTAGTATTCTTTTTCTCTGACACTTGTCCTTATTATTTCTCTTTTGAAACTGTCTTTACTCTCTTCTCTTGCTTTGTGTGCCTTATTTTTATTTATTTAAACGCAGAAAAACTTTGTACAATTTAGCACCAAGAAGATGGGCCACACAATAATAACAGAACAACATAGATAAAAAGTAAAAATATAATTAGAGAACGGATAAAGAGCTTCATCTGGAAGAAAAACAGTCATACTTAACAAGTTCAAACAGTATTCGGCAACTATCATCAGGAAGGGAAGAAAAAATTGAAATCGCAGCACGTTCACCATTGATTACAATTCTTGGCCATAACCGATAACGTTTCGAGCCATCGATTCGAGCTATCTCGCGGACCCTAACCAGGGAGTCGTGACGCACCAACCGATACTAATCAAGCACAAATATCCTTCATCCCACGACGCCACGTCATGGACTGACCAACTGTCCGACTTTTCCATCCCGTCCCAGGGCTAGCGAACAGAGACCTGTGCGTAAGCCTCTGGGATGACATTCGCAGCACATGTCCAAGCCACTGGAGCCAGTGTTTCCAGATGACCACACTCAATGAATGATGATCTCCATTGTGTTCAAACACACGCCGCCGAACCTCAGAATTACTCACGCGATGATGCCATCGAACGCAAGCAATCCTGCGGAGACAGCGGTGATCGAACACGCAGAGTCGCCTCACATCCTCAGCTCGGAGAGGCCAGGTTTCACAGGCGTAGAGCAAGACAGCCCGCACCGAAGCATTGTATACCCAACCTTTGACAGCCAGGCTAACGTCGCGACTCAAGTTGATGTGTGCTACCCTAGCCTTCATGATACGGTTGGAAATCTGATCCGTCACCCCTCCGCCAGCACTCACACAACCACCCAGATACACAAACTTATCAACAACTTCAAGCGGTTCACCTGCAAGAGTGAGTGCAGGTACAGGCTCCTGCCCATCTTGTAACAGTACTTTGCATTTAGACGGCGCAAAGCACATACCATACTTACAGACACTGATCGCCAACTGATTAAGTGCGATTTGGGCAGCCTGCATGCTATCACACAGTAAGACGATATCGAAAAGTCTATCTCCAGGTAGCAGATCTACACCACCTTCACGCACATCCTTCAGAGCTGACTCCAGAATGTCATCGATGGCAAAGTTAAGGAGAAATGGAGAGATCGGGCAACCCTGTCTAACCCCACTGTTGGTTGGGAACAGTGATGATAGTTGGTTGTATGCCCTCACTCTACCTGAAGCATTTCTGTATAAGACTTTCAAGACGTCAACTAACTTCTTGGGTACACCCCTCTCTAACAGACAGTTGCAGAGCACAGTTCTATCCAACGAATCGAAGGCAGCCCTAATATCAAGAAACACAACGACTGTTGGCCTGCAATACGTGTGGCGGTGTTCTAACAACTGACGAAGGATGAACACATGATCAATGGATCCAAGACCTGAACGAAACCCAGCCTGCTCTTCGCGAATCAATCCCTCACGTATTTTGCACAGCCTGCAAAGCAAGACAGCAGCCAATAATTTAGACGCGACTGCAACAATTTAAATAAAACGCATTATTAATGAAGAATTAGGAGTCGTACACAGTTTGAGACTGGTAGATTTATATAGAATCCCCTGAAAGATTCTAAGACAATGCATTAGAAGTCCACCAAGTTTTCAAAGACTTACGTTTACAAGGCTATACAGGTTTACTACATAACAACAGCTGTCGAAATGCGTACCAGACCTTAATTGTGTATGCACTCATAAGTATGATGGCATGAAAATAACCAGTGTATCATACCTATAAGCGTGAAAGAGCCAAAGAAATTATGCTGAATTAAACGGAATAGGAATAATTTTTTCTATGCATTTCTATTTTTATAGTTTAACTGGAATGGAAGTTCACTCAATATAAGCTGGTTTTTACAACGAATCCAGATGATTAAAAAAAATTCATTTTATATAAATTCTGAACGATACTTAATTATCTACCGAGTGGCAAGTATTCAGATAATGATATCTAGATATACTACCCACACAGTATGCACACATACAAACTGAACAGACAAGTCTGGTAACAAAATTAAAAAGCATAGTGATTGACGTCGTACGTTAGAAACCAACATAAAAAGCCTCAATAAAGTTATTCAAGTTACCCTCCTTACCTGTATGTTTTATGTGCGCTTATTTAGTGTCCCTAAACCACTGGTGTCCCACTTAACTGATTTATCGTGGTGAGAAACGGTTAGAAAGTGTTAGATTTCCGTCATACGTGTCTAAACACCGACACACTGCCGCCCGAATGCAGTCAAGGATAGGTTCTATTCTCATCTCAACCAAACGAGCACAACAATTATGAGAGCGCTAACTGAGGATTTGCATGTACAGATCAGCTGTTTAAATTCATAAGCGATAGGTAAAAATAAAACTGGAGATCAAATGATGGAGACCGTATTCTGCACTAGCAACAATTATCGGAATAGCCATTTTAAGCGAACGATAAGCTCATGTATTTAGGTAGTATGAGTGCCAGCAGAAATGACGAATGAGACTTAATCGTATATCGAAGATCAGAGTGGCCCACACCAAATTTCGTGCTGTCGCGATATCAAGGTAAACCCCGAAAGTCGGGTTTACAGAGCTTCGACGCGTTCAGTTCTATCCTACGTCTATGAAATCACTTTTATTTTTTGATGGCTTCACCAGTTTGATTACTGTTGCCTTAGTTTAACTGTTTGCGTTCGATGGCATCAGCATATATAATTCAGACATGATTGCTTTATCGTGACATAGACCATCTTCCAATCATTAATATTTCTCCCAAACCCCGGCTTTAGTTGCTTGGATGTACATTACGGATGTCATTCTGCACAATGCTAGCCCTGGAACTAGATGAGAAAAGAGGAGTGGCGAACCTATGATGTAGCGCCATGGTGTCATATTTATGTTGATATCCGTGAGACAAGACCCAATGAATAGGATACAGAATGTCATATGACTTCCTAGCTAAGAATCAAACTACTGGAGAATTTTCCGCAGCTCACTTTTTCTCTTAGTTCTGAAAGCAACATGAAGTAAAGAACGCCTGATCTTGCTTCATTATTTTGTATCAGTAATGTACTGGCTTCGTCTTAATTACAATAAATGACTTTCCTTACAAGAAATACAGACCACTTGACGACTATCACAAACTTAATGGACAGATTAACTGATATCCAAAGGAAAGTAAGTGGAATGCAGCAATGCTGACTGATAATTTATCCTCGCCTAACTGCAATGGTGTATTTTGATTAGATGTAATCTTAGATATGGAAAGCAAAAGCACACCTGAGTGATCCAATAATGGTTGTAACACGGATTGTGCTGGGTTTTTTTCTAAAGAATTAACCATTACTTGAAGCCACTACAGCTAAAGCATTAAACCAAGCACCTTTTAACCCAATGTAATTCTTAAAAGTTTAGACTTTCGACGTCATACATGTACCACATTGGCCTTAGGAGTCTGTCCGTCTAATGCTAAACAGTTGTGTGTGAAAAGAACCTAATATGTGCTAAACTAATGAGGGCATTACTGAATATACGAAGCTGAGATGAAGCCGCCAATGTTGACAAATAAGCACCAGGTAATGAACTGTTTAAATTGTGCACAAACGGCCCAAAGAGTGCTACTAGACGTCTATTCAATGGTGAAATACTGCTGGTCAGTTCTGAGAGGGAAAGATCTCGAAGAAAAAAGGCAATATGTGCTGAAATAAGCAGATATTTCAAAAACGGGGCTTTTCAATGCAAAATAACAGCTTAAAGTTAGGGAGTGCTTTTACTGCCAATAGGAAGCGAAATTATGTGAGCAGCATAGAAATAATGCTATTCACTGCTTAAGTGAAGCTTAATGAGCTGAAGTGGTGATGAGCGAAATAACAGTAAGTGCTCAGTGTCCTTCCGTGCGAAAAATTGTGCAATTTAAGCACTCTCGTTGGATTTTCTCACCAAATAAAAGAATCTTATTCCCGAATGTTGTATAATATTAATACTGTAGTATTACTTAAAGTAAACGTTACCTTGGGTGAAACTGCTCAACTATTCGACTGCTTATATCATTTAAAATGAAAGGAAAAAGTGAAAGAAAAAGTACCACAGTCAAGTGACCTTTAAACAACCAATAAGATCGCTCAAAATCACAAAAGGATGCTTCTATAACCTCCGTTGCAAGTCCTCCTGATTTGGGTTTAGAGTTACGGTTAATTTGAGGTTACAGCACGCATGTGTGGTTTTGGGTTAAGATTAGGGTAAAAGTAGCGTTACGGTTAGGCTGAAGGCTAGGGTGCACTAGCTACAACTATTATGGACAGCAGCCATTTAACATCTTGTGCGCTGTGACTGCAACTATGACATATATCTATAACCACCACCATTAAGAAACTAGGACCACTGTAGCATATTCGAGGCACATGTACTGTATAATTCACCTTAATTGCGTATATATACTGTAGATATTAAACAATGCTACATTTCACCTTGAAGAAACTGATTGGCTGATATCAGGTCATTTGGTTGTGGTGTCTATTCCTCACTGTTGCCCAATAAAATTTTAAAATTTCAATATGACTAACAACTCGGTTTAGAAAATCATACTTTCAAATATTCGCCACCTATGGTGGCACGCTGGAAGCCTCACAGTGCTGGTTGTAGCGAAACACTCTAAACACCCGCCTGAGGTTCAATGTCCAAATGACTACCAATTTCTGATTGATACGTAGAAGCAGATCTTAGATGTCTAGTCTACAATCTTGCGAGCAGATGTCTGAAAAAAGTATAACAATGGCGGTCTAGAAGCACCGAACTCACCGATTACTTTGAAAGGATAAAGTGTTTTAACCTGAAAAATTCGAGAAACAGAGAGAAATAGTTTAGCATTCCTGACAGAGCAGGAAGAGTATTGAGTACGGTATTCTGTTTAATGTTCGCGGCCGTCACTGACTTTTAGTGAACAAACTCGCAGAGGTAGAACAATGATATTATTATACAGAACACGAAACTGGCTATGCTTCAGGATTATTTCTGCGTACCTGCTATAAACATCGGTTCCTAGCTATCAACATACACATCTAGCGCTTGTTGTTGAGTATAAGCCACCTCATCTAAGCCAAAATATAAAGCACACAAAAATTCAAAACACGAACGCTCCCGAAGGTAAAAAATATCTTTACCGACTCTAAAATACATGTTAAAACCAGTATCCATAAACTAGTTGTAAATCTTTTCAGTAGTACAGGCACTAAATTCGATTTAACTATTGTTATAAGGATAATGACAAGCGTAGTCGAAGATGTGCCACGATATAAAGTATGTGTTGTCTGTAAAGTACTTATACGACTAATGCCCGGTGGGTTTTTCAGGTCTCAGCTAATTATTACTGTAAGTTGCCAAATAATTAGATTCTTTATTATCACTTGTATAATCAAATAAGAGCTAAAATGGTGAAAAAAGTAGGTGAAGGACGGTAGGACATAAAAAAGTATTAAAAACCGGATTAAGTTACGGAAATAACCGGATGTTAAAAGCCGTGTTAGTTAAACCCAACGAGATTCCAATAGATTATGTGGCATAAAAGTCAAGTCGGCCGCAGTGGATGGAGCCCAGATGTTCTCCACACTAGATTTGTCTCAGGAAATATGGTAGACATTATTGCTTCTGAGTATATCGCTCCGGTCTTCCACCAACCAGTGAACGTAAAAGTCACGCAGGGATTACCACCTCAAACGAAAATGAAACTAGTTCGAACTGGCATAGTCACTTGCTACCAGGGAATAATCTCGTCGACTTAGAATATGCGGACGACATAGTTCTTTTAGGCGAGGACGCTGACAAAATGCAGAAACTACTGATTACCTTGAGCTGCTATCTGCGAATGTTTGGCATGCGATTCGCCCCTGTAAAATGTAAGATGATGCTGCAGGATTGGACTTCACCGACCCCTGGATTAGAAATAGGAAGTGAAGTGGTAGAGCACGTTGACCACTTCACTTACTTGGGAAGTACCATCAGCTCCAACGGGTTGATCTCCGACGAAATCTCAGCACGAATACAGAGGGCTAGGTTCGCATATGCCAGTTTACGCCGTGTCTGGCGTAGACGTGACATCCGACTATCGACCAAAGGGCGTGTGTACTGCTCAACAGTCCGCTCCGTCCTCCTTTATGGGTGTGAGACATGGCCATTGAGAGCAGAAGACATGAAAAGATTAGCTGTCTTCGATCATAGGTGTCTGCGTTCTATCTCCCGCGTGAAGTGGTATAATAAGGTGAGCAATATTGAGGTTAGGCGTCGAGTGCTAGGTAAGGAGGGGAAATCAGTCGACGAGACTGTGAAATTACATCGACTGGGATGGTTAGGACATGTGCTACGTATGCCTAGTCATCGCCTTGCTCGACGGGCAATGTTAGCTGATAAAGGTTCAGGCTGGAAAAGATCTAGCGGCGGTCAAACGAAAACATGACACCAGGCAATGAAATCCACAACAGTTAGTTTAAGGCACGTAGGAAGGTGTAGACTTCCTGATTGGGGTCCTCGGGACGGTAAAAACCAATGGTTGGAAACAATTGGTGACATGACCCAAAATCGTTCTCAGTGGCGCAGATGCATCCACTCTTTGTGACTTATGATTTCCAATTAAACTGTTTTGTTCTCCGTTATTACTATTCCTTTGTCTCACACCTCTGTTTACTGTCTATATTATGCATTTCTTCTACTTTCTTCTCTTCCTTTGTGTGCTACATGGAGTGTGGCGACTTGAACTGCCGCACATATGTGCAAAGTTCTACGTCGAAAACCGACCGACTGACCGACCGCATAGTCACTGGGCATCCATTCAGTTTTCACCAAAATAGCAGCTGTGGGCAAGTCGTAAGCTCCTTACCAGAAAACACGAATTGCAGCGAACGGAGACGAATTAGGGTGACTGACAAAGTTAGTTCACCAGCCGTCATGTAACTGTCCACCTCCACTAACAATTTTGTCGTCTGTGATGTTATAACATGGGACACAATATTATGTGTTGACTTTCTGGCTGAGCAGAGAACCATAATTGGACTAAAGAGTCTTCGTATTAAGCTGTGTGTGCTTTATCTTCCGGTTAGATTACCTAATAGACGCAGTCAATATAGGAATAGAACCTGAGCACACTTCATCCACTTCATCGCCAAACCAGGAAAGAAAGGAAGTTCGCCTGAATAATTGAGCTCCAGGAGGCGTTTGAAATGTGTGTAGCTTCCTCTTTGTGTTAGCGCCTCCTGATACGCCCCATATGGCTGGTTTATTCCTCTCAGACGCTGGCGCCAGCGTTAAGATGATACTAGCTGCCCTCTCACAGGCTAGTTTCAACGAAAAATAGAGAGTCATCTCATGCAACTATATATTTATTCTTGTCTGTGCAGGCAAATACCAGTTTTATTTTTTATTTCTATTATATTATAGGTTGATTCCACACAGTATTTTGGCACAAGTATTGAATTTCCAGAATGTGATGTTAGTAGCTTAAATTTAGCAGGTCGAGCATTGATATCATGTGTGCGTCGGCAGGGGATCGAACCCAGGACCATGTGCATGGATAAGTTAGTTATTTAAATTGCATAAATTTTTTATGTGTTGGAACTGCACCACTGTTGTCCATTGTAACAATGGAACAAATTTAAAAAGTCTGCTATTTAGTGAATGTAGCATGAAACTATCAATAGACAAATGCGTTCAATTCTCCTCAAGTTTGCCCATGCAGTCTCTATCAAACGCCTGAAAAACGATTAATGTCTTCAGTAAGAGGCAGTTATCAGTATTTCCTTACCCATGCTGGTAACTGTATGTCTTTATTCTCTCTTCCACTCAATTACGTAATCTTTGGCTTTAACCTCACCCCCTTTGATATAATGTAATTTTGATTGTCCCTTGTTTCTATGATTTGACTTAAACTCAGTATATTGTTACCCAATTTATCAGTTACTCATCATCTTACTCACCTCTTCTGTTTACTGTGTAACATAGCTCCTTTACCATTGTATGCATACATTTACTTTGTTTAAACTTGAACTCCCTGTGTAAAAATATTTGTATAGTGTCCTGAGCACTATTCACTAATTTCGGAACGTCCTGTCAACTGACATCACGTGGAAGTTGCGAGTATGTTAAAACTTTTCTGTCCATAAAATTAATAATTTATTTAGGCTGTAAGCAGCTGTTGAGGAGCCAACAAAATAAATTATAGTTCCATCATATAGCATTTTATTTCTCCCCTACAAAATCAATAGAATATTACGGTTGCGAACTATACGTATTCTTCATGAATTAATCAGATACCGCTGCTAACTTCTTTTATCCTCATAAATAATCATGTTGATAGAAGAGCAATCTGACATGCCTGAAAACTTCCACTCCAAAACAAGCGTCTGAACAGCGTGGTACTGAAACCTATATATATGTATATACATATATATATATATGTTTCATTAAGTTGTCGTCCATAAGCTTCGACTGCACACATTTCAGTTTATCGGCGGCGGCGGTGTTTTCAAGCCTCTAAAACCATTATCGTTTTTTCTTATACACTAGGAAATACAGTTTCTTAATGACAGGGTACACATTTTGTTTGATCTTGCACAAAACTCTTAATTCGTTTTATTATTGGAAGTTTTACACAAAAGTATCAGATGTATGTTACATGCAGTTTAATGGAATAGAATAGTCTAATAATTTTCGACTTCACAAAACGATTTTATCAATTTCTTTGACTGGAAGCTTTATTTTGAAAAGAATTTACTTAGCACATCCTTTCACTCTCAGTTTCCCTTGTGTTCACTATACAGACCATCTTAAAACGGGCAGTATTTACAAATCGAATTATTTGTCATATAACTAATTCTTTTGTTCAATGAGAACCAGTAAAGCTGTAAAAACAGAAGGCGAGACACAGAAGCCAAAGTATACTTTTCGTTGATCAAACAGCTGTTTATATATGTATATATATTCCTGATTCCTTGTGCAAATATACTGTTACGGCTCACCTCGTTGTAAGTTGTTGATTAAATAGCGAGTCGGGAAATCAAGTAGCTGTTAGTGGCTGACAAATGAAACTCGTGATCCCCATGTATGATTTCAGCTCGAACATCCCTATCAATTGAACCAAACTTTCCAAAATATAAAAATCGGTAGTCTGACCCAGAAGACTTAGACATACGAACCTATTACGCTAGTGAACACTACTCTGATATCTAGTCACAATACAAAAACAATACCATCAGCACGCGAAAGCAAAATAGACGACTTACAGCATTAGTCACGAAGCCAGACCAGACATGTAGGTATTTCAGCCGTAAACACTGAGGCCGCTTTTATATGACCTTTTCTAAGCAAACAGAAAGAATTTCGAAGATCTGTAAAGATTTTAATGAAACGTATGTTACGAACTGATCGACAAATGGGCTTCATCTATAAACATATTTGGTTGGAAATGGAACTTAGAAATTATTCAAAGACATCGTTACACCAGCTTCTCTGATGCGTAGTATAATCATAATTCTCTTCACAGAAATGACCCCATTTCTTCTCAAGGTTATCATTCACTGGAGAACACCACATTTAATCTGTTCACAATGAGATACAGTAGTGACTACTATCAACTAGACTTCTTGTGATGAAAACCGTCTCCTCTAACGGAGTCTTGGAAAATTCATTAATATGTT